TCGGAAACGCGCTCTGCTCTCAGACAGTTTTTCGCGTGTTCATTGTATTGCATCGAAGTTCGAGTGTTTCGTTAAGGTTTTAAGCATAATGGTATTAGTCTGGAACTATTAGGGGAAGTTTCGAACACTTTTCATTATTTTTCGTTTCAACAACAACAAGAAAACTGACTCGAGCTTTTTGATTCTCTTGAAAACACACCCAAACACGTAGTCCAGTACTCAGTTTGCTGTATATAAAAACGATATATCCAAAATGATGAGAAGTTTTAGTCATGCGCGGTGCGTTTCCAGCTCTTAGCCACGGTTCACACTTGTGCAGCGGTTCACGTTGACGCGTTCGCTCGGAAACGCGCTCTGCTCTTAGACAGTTTTTCGCGTGTTCAGTGTATTGCATCGAAGTTCGAGTGTTTCGTTAAGGTTTTTAGCATAATGGTATTAGTCTGGAACTCTTAGGAGAAGTTTCGAACACTTTTTATTATTTTTCGTTTCAACAACAACAAGAAAACTGACTCGAGCTTTCAGCTTCTTTTGGAAATACACCCAAACACGTAGTTCAGTACTCACTTTGCTGTATATAAAAACGATATATCCAAAATCATAAGAAGTTTTAGTCATGCTCGGTGCGTTTCCAGCTCTTAGCCACGGTTCACACTTGTGCAGCGGTTCACGTTGACGCGATCGCTCGGAAACGCGCCCAGCTCTCAGACAGTTTTTCGCGTGTTCATTGTATTGCATCGAAGTTTAAGTGTTCAGTTAAGGTTTTAAGCATAATGGTATTAGTCTGGAACTATTAGGAGAAGTTTCGAACACTTTTCATTATTTTTCGTTTCAACAACAACAAGAAAACTGACTCGAGCTTTTAGCTTCTTTTGGAAATACACCCAAACACGTAGTCCAGTACTCAGTTTGCTGTATATAAAACGATATATCCAAAAGATAAGAAGTTTTAGTCATGCTCGGTGCGTTTCCAGCTCTTAGCCACGGTTCACACTTGTGCAGCGGTTCACGTTGACGCGATCGCTCGGAAACGCGCCCAGCTCTCAGACAGTTTTTCGCGTGTTCATTGTATTGCATCGAAGTTCGAGTGTTTCGTTAAGGTTTTAAGCATAATGGTATTAGTCTGGAACTATTAGGAGAAGTTTCGAACACTTTTCATTATTTTTCGTTTCAACAACAACAAGAAAACTGACTCGAGCTTTTAGCTTCTTTTGGAAATACACCCAAACACGTAGTTCAGTACTCAGTTTGCTGTATATAAAACGATATATCCAAAAGATAAGAAGTTTTAGTCATGCTCGGTGCGTTTCCAGCTCTTAGCCACGGTTCACACTTGTGCAGCGGTTCACGTTGACGCGATCGCTCGGAAACGCGCCCAGCTCTCAGACAGTTTTTTTCGCGTGTTCATTGTATTGCATCGAAGTTTCGAGTGTTTCAGTTAAGGTTTTTAAGCATAATGGTATTAGTCTGGAACTATTAGGAGAAGTTTCGAACACTTTTCATTATTTTTTTCGTTTCAACAACAACAAGAAAAACTGACTCGAGCTTTTTAGCTTCTTTTTGGAAATACACCCAAACACGTAGTTCAGTACTCAGTTTGCTGTATATAAAACGATATATCCAAAATCATAAGAAGTTTTAGTCATGCTCGGTGCGTTTCCAGCTCTTAGCCACGGTTCACACTTGTGCAGCGGTTCACGTTGACGCGATCGCTCGGAAACGCGCCCAGCTCTCAGACAGTTTTTCGCGTGTTCATTGTATTGCATCGAAGTTCGAGTGTTTCGTTAAGGTTTTAAGCATAATGGTATTAGTCTGGAACTATTAGGGAGAAGTTTCGAACACTTTTCATTATTTTTTTCGTTTCAACAACAACAAGAAAAAACTGACTCGAGCTTTTTAGCTTCTTTTTGGAAATACACCCAAACACGTAGTCCAGTACTCAGTTTGCTGTATATAAAACGATATATCCAAATCATAAGAAGTTTTAGTCATGCTCGGTGCGTTTCCAGCTCTTAGCCACGGTTCACACTTGTGCAGCGGTTCACGTTGACGCGATCGCTCGGAAACGCGCCCAGCTCTCAGACAGTTTTTCGCGTGTTCATTGTATTGCATCGAAGTTCGAGTGTTCAGTTAAGGTTTTAAGCATAATGGTATTAGTCTGGAACTATTAGGAGAAGTTTCGAACACTTTTCATTATTTTTCGTTTCATCAACAACAAGAAAACTGACTCGAGCTTTTAGCTTCTTTTGGAAATACACCCAAACACGTAGTTCAGTACTCAGTTTGCTGTATATAAAACGATATATCCAAATCATAAGAAGTTTTAGTCATGCTCGGTGCGTTTCCAGCTCTTAGCCACGGTTCACACTTGTGCAGCGGTTCACGTTGACGCGATCGCTCGGAAACGCGCCCAGCTCTCAGACAGTTTTTCGCGTGTTCATTGTATTGCATCGAAGTTCGAGTGTTTCAGTAAGGTTTTAAGCATAATGGTATTAGTCTGGAACTATTAGGAGAAGTTTCGAACACTTTTTCATTATTTTTTTCGTTTCAACAACAACAAGAAAAACTGACTCGAGCTTTTTAGCTTCTTTTTGGAAATACACCCAATCACGTAGTCTAGTACTTAGTTTGCTGTATATAAAACGATATAGCCAAATCATAAGAAGTTTAAGTCATGCTCGGTGCGTTTCCAGCTTTTAGCCACGGTTCACACTTGTGCAGCGGTTCACGTTGACGCGTTCGCTCGGAAACGCGCCCTGCTCTCAGACAGTTTTTCGCGTGTTCATTGTATTGCATCGAAGTTCAAGTGTTTCGTTAAGGTTTTTAGCATAATGGTATTAGTCTGGAACTATTAGGAGAAGTTTCGAACACTTTTCATTATTTTTCGTTTCAACAACAACAAGAAAACTGACTCGAGCTTTTTGATTCTTTTGAAAACACACCCAAACACGTAGTCCAGTACTCAGTTTGCTGTATATAAAACGATATATCCAAATCATACGAAGTTTAAGTCATGCTCGGTGCGTTTCCAGCTTTTAGCCACGGTTCACACTTGTGCAGCGGTTCACGTTGACGCGTTCGCTCGGAAACGCGCCCTGCTCTCAGACAGTTTTTTGCGTGTTCATTGTATTGCATCGAAGTTCAAGTGTTTCGTTAAAGTTTTTAGCATGATGGTATTAGTCTGGAACTATTAGGAGAAGTTTCGAACACTTTTCATTATTTTTCGTTTCAACAACAACAAGAAAACTGACTCGAGCTTTTTGATTCTTGTGAAAACACACCCAAACACGTAGTCCAGTACTCAGTTTGCTGTATATAAAACGATATATCCAAATCATACGAAGTTTAAGTCATGCTCGGTGCGTTTCCAGCTTTTAGCCACGGTTCACACTTGTGCAGCGGTTCACGTTGACGCGTTCGCTCGGAAACGCGCCCTGCTCTCAGACAGTTTTTGCGTGTTCATTGTATTGCATCGAAGTTCAAGTGTTTCGTTAAGGTTTTTAGCATAATGGTATTAGTCTGGAACTATTAGGAGAAATTTCAAACACTTTTCATTATTTTTCGTTTCAACAACAACAAGAAAACTGACTCGAGCTTTTAGCTTCTTTTGGAAATACACCCAAACACGTAGTCCAGTACTCAGTTTGCTGTATATAAAACGATATATCCAAATCATACGAAGTTTAAGTCATGCTCGGTGCGTTTCCAGCTTTTAGCCACGGTTCACACTTGTGCAGCGGTTCACGTTGACGCGTTCGCTCGGAAACGCGCCCTGCTCTCAGACAGTTTTTGCGTGTTCATTGTATTGCATCGAAGTTCAAGTGTTTCGTTAAGGTTTTTAGCATAATGGTATTAGTCTGGAACTATTAGGAGAAGTTTCGAACACTTTTCATTATTTTTCGTTTCAACAACAACAAGAAAACTGACTCGAGCTTTTTGATTCTTGTGAAAACACACCCAAACACGTAGTCCAGTACTCAGTTTGCTGTATATAAAACGATATATCCAAATCATACGAAGTTTAAGTCATGCTCGGTGCGTTTCCAGCTTTTAGCCACGGTTCACACTTGTGCAGCGGTTCACGTTGACGCGTTCGCTCGGAAACGCGCCCTGCTCTCAGACAGTTTTTTGCGTGTTCATTGTATTGCATCGAAGTTCAAGTGTTTCGTTAAAGTTTTTAGCATAATGGTATTAGTCTGGAACTATTAGGAGAAAGTTTCGAAACACTTTTCATTATTTTTCGTTTCAACAACAACAAGAAAAACTGACTCGAGCTTTTTAGATTCTTTTTGAAAAACACCCAAACACGTAGTCCAGTACTCAGTTTGCTGTATATAAAACGATATATCCAAATCATACGAAGTTTAAGTCATGCTCGGTGCGTTTCCAGCTTTTAGCCACGGTTCACACTTGTGCAGCGGTTCACGTTGACGCGTTCGCTCGGAAACGCGCCCTGCTCTCAGACAGTTTTTGCGTGTTCATTGTATTGCATCGAAGTTCGAGTGTTTCGTTAAGGTTTTAAGCATAATGGTATTAGTCTGGAACTATTAGGAGAAATTTCAAACACTTTTCATTATTTTTCGTTTCAACAACAACAAGAAAACTGACTCGAGCTTTTAGCTTCTTTTGGAAATACACCCAAACACGTAGTCCAGTACTCAGTTTGCTGTAAATAAAACGATTTATCCAAATCATAAGAAGTTTAAGTCATGCTCGGTGCGTTTCCAGCTTTCAGCCACGGTTCACACTTGTGCAGCGGTTCACGTTGCTGTCAGGATAGAAATACGATTTATTTTCTGACAATTCTATCGAGTTTTTATCTTTTTCAATTGGTTTACAAAACTTGCATTGTTTTCTCATCTTGGTTCTCAGTTGCTTGTTTCTAATTGAGTGTCAACATGTTCTTTTCTCTGGTTCTACCCGTATCATTCTACTTTTCGTCGTTTTTTTTTTGAAGTCATTTCAAATTTTTCAGCGCTCGTCTGTCTCGATCGTCAAAAGGGATGCCGAAGTCAAAGATTGTGCGTTACGTTCCTCAAGGAGAAAGGGTCATGAAATATGGTGAGTTTTAATAGATTGAAGAGTTTAAAAAAAGGAATCAAAATGAACCGCTGTCGCTCACTCAGGAGTTTTTTTTGCTAGAAAAAATATAAATGAAAGTTTCTTGAACTGATAGTGATTTTTGCAGAACGATGTCTGGAAAATGTCAGACGCGACTTGAAAAAGCGAAAACTTCGTGAGTTTTTCATCCGTGCATTGAAATAAGATCGAACTTATACAATTTTTTTTAGTGGACTCTCTTCCCAAAACTCGTCGGTCTCGCACCAGTTTGCATCGCAAGAGTCTCGAACCTCAGCCGCTTCCCTCCAGAGAATATGGTTCGTTCAATTTGACTTGAGTTCCTTCCATCTGAATCGGAAGTTTTCGCAAGTTAATATACTAGAAAAAACGGGAATGATCAATCAGTTCCTAGTTTTTAATTGCAAAAAAGATTTTTCATGATTAGATTTCAGTAAACGTGGTTATTTTAGTCCCTCCTCTTCAAGACGACGACAATATTGAAAGAAGAGCTTGTCAGTACGAAGACTTCAAATCATTTCGCGGAACTGTTCCGTCATCTGGTGAGTGAAAAAGGAAACATCTTAACGGGAAAAGGGTTTGGAAAAACAGAAAAAAAGGGAAATTTTTTTCGTAGTTTTCCAATCTCTACAGAGGCAATACTTTTTTTGAACTCATTTTTTTCAATGATTAGTGCTCGAGGAATGATGAAAGTTTGAGAGAGAAAAAGGTGTTTTCATTCTCGGCGTTCTATTTCTTCAGGAAGTCGCAGTAGTCGGTATCCGGCCAAGTCTAAACCGGGCAAGAATTAGGATCAACAAGATTAAAAATACATTCTGTATATCGCATTTAATTTTTTTTTTCACAATCAGACAGTTGAAAAAATATTGATTTCTGGTTTTTTTCCAACAAAAACAATTTCTGCTATCGGATTTTTGTGAACATGTGAATTTCAGTTCGGTATGTCCAAGTCGACGACAACGTCGACAAGAAAGATTACGAATACGAAGACTTCAAATTTAGCCAAACAGTCTCGTCGTCAGGTGGTGAGTGAAGTGAACTAACATATAAACCGGCAAAAACTAAATATTCAATGAAAATAACACGAAAAGTACAGAGACACATAACCAAAAAAAATTTCTAATTTCAGGGAAGGTCGAGCAACGAGCATCAAAGGTCGTTTTTGACTCTGACCGTGCCATGAGCCAATATCCCGATTATGTAGAATTGCAAGCGACTGAGGAAGACTCTGAGCTCTCGGTGGCTGCCTGTCAGTTTTTTTTCTCAAGAATTTAATTAGTATATGGTTTTCAGATGAAGACTTTCTTCGCGCACTCAAGTCGATGAGAGTCTCGACGCGCAAAGAAGGCCGGCCTTCCGACAGAGGTCTCCAGGGCTTGGCGAATGTTTTCGAAGGTCAGTTTTAAACAAACATTTTTTGAGACCAAAAATAAAAAAATCTAACTTGGAACGGTGGCAAGATGAAATTCTCTTAAATAAAAACTCGGGAGATTTTCCAAAACTTTCAACCCATTTTTTCACGGGACTGTATGATCATGAAAAGAATGAATATTTCGGATGGTTTTTGGATTCAATTTTTAGCCGGACCGAAAAAAAACTCAATGAATCAATTTTCAGATGTCCCGACGGGTTTCTCACCCGAGTCTTACTTGGAAAGGACCTTGCGTCAGATCAAGCCTCAAATCGGCAAGAAGAACTACGCTCTTTTCTCGCAACCCCTTGGTCAGTTGTTATACCACAAGTTTCGGGAAATGTTTTCGAGTTATCATGAACCAACTTTTTATATCTGTTTGAAAAACTTTTTCTATGAACTAAATGTTTCAGAGGATCTTGTCAGCTCGGGCGTGCCGCTCTCTGAGCACGCCGGCCTCGGATCTCTTGCTCCGGCGGTCAGCAGCGACAAGCAACCTCAACGCGCGAAAAGTGAGTTTACTTTTGATACAAATGAATTGAACAGAAGACAAAATGAATAAACTGAATGGAAACTAGAATAAAGTAATAAATCTTTGTGTTTTCAGCCTTTACGGAGCTTCTGATGTCAACGCATCCCGGCTACATAGCAATCCGTGGGAAAAAAAGTTACCGCCACTCGAAAAATCCTTTTTCCGCATGTCAAATCATGTAAGTTTTATTTTAAATGAAAAAAACTGGACTTTTTCATGAGAACGTCTTCAGATAATAGTCAAAAAAAGTTTATTAGAAACTATTTCTGGATTAGAAGTGACTTTCAAAAAGTCAAGATAAGTATAGTTACACTAGAAGAAAAACATATGGAAGTTTTTTTGAACAATAACGTGACATTTTCAGATGGTCCAAATGAAGATCCATTCTCCGAAATTGACCCAGGGTGCCAGCGCAAAGATTACAGTCGTCTCCTCAATGGTAAGTATTCTAATTTCGAAGAAATTAATTGACAGAAATGGTAATCAAAAAAACGTGTAATATCTTTGGCAGTGAAAATCGAAATTTTAGGAAACTTCATGGAAAAATTTCTAAAATTCTGAAAAACGCATTCAACCGGCTTGTTTTTCTAACTTATTAGGAAGTTTCTCGTACCAAGTTTATCTTGGGTATAATCCAAACTGGAAAATAAAACAATAGGCAATTTAAGCATGGAACTTTGTAGAAGCCGACCTCGACAGTGTCGAATTTGTGTCCAAGCACAAAGCCCCATCCGTCGCCCAGGACAAGAAGTCCAAACAGTAAATCGTCTCTGTCAAATTTTCTTTGCGTCTTTCATGCTCTGTGTCTTATAGATCTCTGAATTTGTTTGCGTCGTATAAAATTTTTATGTCTAATAATAGTTAACACATCACAAATCCAAATCAAGTTGAGGAACTTAAAAACAAGAATCAAAGTAAAATGTGAAGTCATCTGGTCTCTGCTGAGAAGCTTCCACTCTGGACATCAGGAAAGATTCTTCTCGATTGCGGTATAATCAAAGCGTCATTTTCACCTTGAAAGAGTTTGAATAGAATTTGAGAAAAAAGGTAGAGCCTCTTGAATTTTTCTCCAAGTTGAGTTACATAGAAAAAAAAGTTGAGCTACGCCTTGTCTAGGTTCGCAAAACATGGGAATAAAAATAATTTGAACAAAGGTCACTTTGACGAAATTGTTTCTTTTTTCCCAAGTATCAACTCCTCGAGCTCCGGCAGCAAGGGTAGTCAACTTTCGAAGTTATCTTGTTGGAAGCCAAATGTTTTTCTAAGTTGAGCCTGTTCAACTTGGGAAAAAGTCTTATTGAAAATTTTTTTGGTTACGGGAAACAGGTCTCGCGTCCACAAAGGCTTCCAAAAAATGAATTTTCTCGAATCATATCGAAAAAATGCTGCAAAACTCGAATTGATCATCAATCTCTGCTCCGTCGTACTTATCGCCTCGAGTTTCGAAAGAAACAAACGCGGAAGAAGTGCAACACAAGAGTTCTCGTAAAAATTATCACGTTGTTTTGCGGCTCGCGAGCCGTTTGATGAGCCGAAAAGACGCTGACGCGGGCTTTCGCCGCCATTGTAGTGATTTTCAGCCTTCCCATCGATCAGTTGTTCATTTGCAGCCCAGCGGATTTTGCATCGCATTTTTAGCCCTCATTTCTATGAACATGGACGTCGATGATTTTGATATGGTTCGTTGTATCTTTTAATTCAGTTTCTAAAGCTCTGAAAAAGCAAAGAACAGTTTTATCGAGGTTTGTTCTGGTCTCTGAGCTTATAATTTTTTCTTTGTTGTAAGTTTTCCAAGAGTTCTGCCCTGACTGTTCGTTCAAGTTTTTGTTCAATTTTGTTCAATTAGATTTTTCTGAATTTACAGTCTGTTGGAAAGTCCTTTCTGAGCTATTTATAGAAGGATGTGAAAAAAATGCGAAATTTTTTTTTTTGTCGTTTTGATCATTCACTATCCTTTCAATTTCTACCACCAAAGCTTTTCACTCCAAGCTTAATTTATTTATTGAATGTTTGATATTTAAATCAATCTTTGATTCTTCCAAATTTTCAGCTTCTTTTCTGTCTTTTTTCTTTTTCAATATTGAGACGCTATCGCTTTATTTTTTAAAAAAGTCATGTTTCTTTTTTAGTTTTCAAAGTTTCTTTCGCAAGGATCTGCTGTCCATCCGTGAATCTTTGAATATTTTATCAAAGTTTTTTTCAACTCATGAGTAAATAATTTATCGAAAAAAACGAAAAAAATATTCACAAATGTCCAAAAGAACTCAAGAGGTTATACAGGGTTCCACTCAATACCGTCAGTTGTAAAATCTCAGCGACATCGAAGCTCTCTTGACACTTGTGCATCGTTTTCTGAAAAATAAGGATCTGTAAGATTAATTTTTCAAGTTTCAAGTTCACCGTGGCATCCCTGGTCAAGAATATGAGGTTTCCCAGTCGAACTTCAGGGAAAGGAACTCCAATCTCTTTGTAATATTGAAGAAGTTCCCGCATAACGGCGTCTCTAAACTGCCGGCATTTCTCCTCACATTCCACTGTTTGGCCTTGTATTCCTGCAAAAAAAAAATTATTTCATGGAGTTAAAAAAAATAAAACCTGCATCCCAAAAAAAGCAAAGGAAAAAAGTGGCCACCAGCTCCACCAAATCCATCCTATGGTATTTCATTGAGCTCAAGATTGTTTTCCTGAAGATTTCATCGCCGGGAATGAATAATCTGAAAGGAGAATATGTTATGGGAGTTAATATGAAATATTTCAAACCTGAAACTTTGCTTTTCTTTCTCAGCTCGCTCCTCGGTCAAACCTTCAGTCAAGGGCCTATCACATTGGATAAAGTCTCCGCTTGCAAGATAGAATCGTTCTTCATGCCCTGTATTGAAAATTTATCAAAATGTTCAAATGAACTTTCAAAAAAGGCGGAAAAGGGCTCAGGGTTGTGAATTGCTGAAAAGTTGCCGCATTTTAAACGAAGATACGTCAATCCGTTTTTCAACTAATTCAGAATGCTATAAAATATGCGGTCATTCAATTGGGCGAAAGAAAGAGTTTCCAAGATTTCTAGGGTGTCAAAATTCTCCCATATTTTTTTAAGAGCAAAAACTACAATTTCTGCACTTTACTGCCATATTTCAAAAATTCTGATTTTTGTCTCTTGTCAATGATACAAAACCTTTGGCCACACTTTCATATGCTGCTTCGATGATTCTCGAAAGGAAGAAGTAGTTTTTAAACAACAGTTTCTGAAACAATGTTTTTTTTTTTATAAAAGTCGAAACCTTGAGATAACCTTTTGCGGTCCTTCAAGAGAGTTGAGTTCCGGAAATGAGCTGACCAGAAAGTGGAGTTGGAGCTGGACATCTTTTGATTGAATTTCATTCACTTCATCGCGAGGAACGGCTCTTGGAACTCTCTCGACATTCTGAAATTTTTAAATTATGGAAAATCGGAAAAATTGATCACATCGAATAGAGCTTCGCCGTCTTTGGAGTAGACCATTTTTCGAACACTTTTCAGGGCTTCGTAGTTGCCGAGCAGTTTGTGCAAGATTGGCGTGGTTGTTGGGTTGAGAGTGAACGGGGTTTGTTGCAAAGACCGCTGAAAAAAGTTCTGGGCCTCAATAGGCTCCTAACAAAATTTTATTTTTATAACACTGAATCTTTTTTTTTGTTCAAGCAGACTATAGAAAAGAAAACTGAGAGCCTATTTTGTTTCGAAAAGTAGAAAAAACCTCATGGCTCTGTTGAATTTCTGGCGAATAGGAAGTCGACGGAGTTGATGAAACTTCTCTAGGAGAATAATCCGGACAAGTGCTGCCTTTCAAAACAGCTGAAAGAGGGTTTCATCTTCCAAAAATCCAAGAAAACCTGTCTTCCTCATCCCCATATCCAGGCACTTCTGATAGCGGCACGCCTTGCACATGCATCGATCCCCTGAATACCTATTTTCTCTCAAAACTGTGTGAAATTTCTTATTCAGCCCTCTGAATAAATCTTGGGATTAATATCAATGCATTGAGATATCAAAATAATTTTCGAAAATTTAGAGAAAGTTCTGCACACATGCAACCTGTGAGCCCAAATCTCAGTCTTTTGAGTGTTTTGAATTATTTGAGCATACTTTGAGACTTTCAAGTTCAGAAACAAATCAAAAAATAAGAAACGAACCCCACTGAACATTGCAAGTTGACAAGCCGCGGCAGCTATAAACACGGCCATCTGCGACGGTTCTGCGGAAAAATGCGGCGCAGGCTCGACAGGCAGTGGCCCCGAAATGGAATCCGTCGCTTGTATGGCTGCAGATTGCACAGATCAGTTCATTCATGTCTTCTTTCGGCATCCCTAAAACAGTATTTTGAAACCTCCATTAGTGATATCAACTGGGACGACGATCTCCAGTAAAAAGAGATTCGAACAAATTTTAAAGTGGTCAGATAGAGTTGATAAGGTATCAGGTACCTTTCAAATAATCCAAATTGAAAAAAAGAAATAAATTATTTATTTTTTTAATCGACGGAAAGCATTTTAAATACATGATATGCGTGCAGCAAAGAAACAATAGATTCAGCTACCATAAAAGTTTGAAACGATAAACTAACAAGAAATCTCATGGTTTGTGACAAGTAAAACAGGAAATCAGGATGAGGACAGCGAGGTTGGAAACATAATCAAGATGGGGTTATTTGATTGGAAAAAAATATTATTTTATTTTTCCTAGATTTATTAGCTCTGATGAAAAACCTCCAATTTGAGAAAAAAAAAAGTTAAAGCAAATTTTCCTAGGTATCACAGTCGAAACCAAAATGCCGTGGCCGCACGTGAAATGGCTCAAGCTCAAAGCGATGTCTTGAATTCGATCTGTCAACAAATCAGACAGCCGCTTCAAAAGTCATTCTGAGTCGCACTTCAAAACGATCCAAACGACCAAATCTTCAATCCATTCCACTTGCGACCACAAAATTAAAGTGATAAAGAATCAAAGATTCAAAAATTCCATCAACGAGTGCTCCTGAAAAGATTGCAAACAGATCCATTGATCGTATTCAGACCAAATAACTGCCTGATCTCGAAGTTTTCCTTGACGATTTCAGCGGTTTTCTGAAAAATTCCTTTCGAGTTGGATTTCCAGTAGCTCAATATTACCACTGAGTCTCGAACCAAGAAAAGAAGGTTGCCCAATCGATTTGAGCTATTTTCGAGACCTTTCGAGTTGTAATAGGTCAAGACCTCGTACATTATACGTTCCCGGATTCTTCTTGAAATTGCCTCGCTTGTCTCATTTTGTTCTAAGAGGCCTGCGAATCCAAAGTAAAATGTGAAATGACGCTTTGAAAAAACCTACGTCCCAGAAGCAAAACGCCCAGATTGCCAATAATTCGACCAAATCTATGCCTAATTTTTTCGCCACGTTGAACATTGTCCGCTTGGACATCAAATAAGCCGGCATGTTCAACATTAAATGAAAATTTTTCTCTTGAATTCATTTCAAAGACTGACTTTACAATCGTTTCCTCATTTTTTGCTTCCTGTTCAGTAAGTCCTTCGGTGCTGGGAACCAAAAAACTGACATGGTCTCCATTTGCCAACATTAGCCGGTCATAAAACCCTGAAAATATCTACACTTCAGCCAAACATCTTTCTCCAAACCATTTTGGAGACCAGTAAAAACCGAGTCGAAAATTCGGTAGTAGAAGAAAAAGTTCCAGAGAAGTATACGCTGAAAAATCCTAACCTAAAGTTTTTTCTTGCCAAAATCAGGTCTACCTGTTGCTGATCATCCAAATTTTTGAGTTCTGGAAACGAGTTGACGAGAAAAGCCATTGAAAAAGGGACGTCAGCTTCTTGGATCTGCCTCATTCTGATGAAAGGAATGGCCTTTGAGACTCTTTCCTCGTTCTGTGAAAAGATTTCTCGATAATTAAAAAGAATTTATATTTTAACCTCGTTCGGGCCATTTTTCGATGGCAGAGAAAAAAGCTCTCCGGCTTTTTATCAAAACCTCATAGTTTCTCAACAAGGCCAGTAGAGTCGGAGTGTTTTTTTCACAAAGAGGAGTGGAGCTTTTCTGAAACATTCTAATTATTTTCTATCTCATAAACGATTTCCAGAATTGATTTGATTTATAAGCTCAAAACGAGAGCAAAACCAAATTTTGAAAAAAATTCTGTTTGATTAATTTATGCCATGTTCAAAGTGATTTCCGCAAAATGCAAAAATTTTCTCTGACTCTCTAAAAATTTAATTTTTTTATTATTTTTCTGATGACTATATTGGATTTCGCGGGAACAAACGGCATGAATGTTTTCTGGTTTTTGTGATGAGACAAGTGAAAAACAAACAGCTCTATCTGTTATCGAGAGTGTAGAATTGAAATTGGATAGGAATGTTCAGAAAATTTTTCCCTCGATATCTACTATTTTTGATGAAAGTTCAAGGTTTTTTCGAACTCACATTCTCAATCGAGCAGCATGGCGAATTTGACGTTACAGGCGAGCTGCCTTCTTTCTTCAGCACCGCTGTAACAGCAAACCATTTTCCTCTCAAAAAGCTTTTAGCACCTGTACGTTTCATCCCAACAGCAAGACATTTATTGTAACGGCACGCTTTGCACATCTTTTTTTCCTCTGAAAGTGTTTTGATCATATTATCAAGAAAACGACTAACCGGAACTGATTACACAGCGGAAGGATTTTCTGCATCGATAGTTTCGGTTCTCTGTGACAGTTCGTCGAAAAAAAGCGGCGCATGCCCGACAAGACGGTACGCCGAAATTGTTGCCGCGGCATTGATTATTACAAATGGAACACGATATGTCCATTTATTTCTGTAGTAGGTTATTTTTAAGAAACATGGTGATGGAATAGAGAAAATAGAACGCCGTGATTCATTTTTTGACAAATTCTCTTAGAACATATATTCAATTTTTTTCGGTTTGAAAAAAATTCGATCGAGATTTTTCAAAGGGGCATAATGACATTCCATAAAATTCCTAAAACGGAGGGCGGTTTTCTAGTTTTCAGAATGAGATGAAACATTTTCAAAACCTTATTTTTCGGTGAAAAAAAAATTTTCTGAATCGAGGAAAAAAAGATAAGTTCTGATTTTCTTTTCCCGATTCGACAGGTCCAAACTTCAAAAGCTCATAATGATAAGAAATAAAGATAGTCGTAGCGACATCTTGTGACTTTTTTCTGCTTTTCTCATCAAAGCGAATTTTTGTGCCAAGAAAATGAAGAAAAATCACCTTGATGATTTTTAAAGGAAACTGGGAATATTCTCCTTTTTTCTCGATACTTTTGAAAATTTGATTTTTTTGATCGGTTGCGAGTTTGATTAGATCTTGCAGGAGTGTACTTCAAAGTCTTTTGATCCCGAATTTTCATTTTTACCTTCTAGACCAAGCTGATTGCAAACATGTTTTAGAGAATTGGCTAAAAATATGTTATTTTTGTAAATTTAAAATATGCAGTTCCGAGTGGATTTCTGCAAAGTTCCCTCAAATTTTCAACCGGTCGGTTTTTCTTTTGAACTCAAATGTTTATATCAAATAAAAAAGCCTCCCTCATAAAACTTATCACTTGACCTATTGGAAAATCGTTGCGAAACATCTCAGAAGACTGGTGCAAACAAAAATTACAAGATTGGAACTTTCATCCTTTCCCTTTTCGATCCAAAGTTAGAGATGTTTTCAAAAAGAGCGCCCCTGTTTTCACAAATTAAAGTGCAGGAAAGAGGAAGAAGGAAAACATTAAAATTTGTGAAAGACGTACGGGAAAGTTTTTATCAGTTGATTGTCCCTCGCCGCAAAACCGCAATCTTTCTTTCAAGACTTCACTCACTACTTTTTCATTGTTCGAATTGGTTTTGATGGATTGGCGATGAATTCTGTCACTTTTTTCGATGGAGAAAAAATGGAAAGAAGGCTTTTTTGGTTTTTTTTTTGATGAAAGATGATAGGATTATTAAACAGACAAAAGTGAACTATCATCATCTTAATTCTTGAGTAACTATTCTCAATTTATATTCAGCTTTCAGTAAACTTAAGAAATTTTATAAAGTCTCGAAAAAGTTCAGATGCTTTGAACTGGATCGCTCACAAGTCCTTGAAACGCAAATGTTATTCTTTAGAAAAGTTTTTGATTTTTTCAGTTATTTGAGAGTAGAATAAAATGGACAACGACGTGGCTCGTGAATGGACTGTGACATGAATCATAGAACAACATTTTTAAACAAAAACCAGTATCAAAATTTTTTGGCTCTGTGTAGATCTACGGTTGTGTATAAAGCCTGAAAAGTTGACAACAATTACTTCTCCAAATCTTATAAGAAAAGCAGAGAAATTCGAATAAAGCTCCTTCTGAGCATCAAAATGTCCTTTTGATGTTTACTTTCGATTAAAACAGTTTCTGTACTCAAAATATCTAATATTTCCTGAATAAACATTTAATTTCAAGCCCTTCGACTGCATATCTCTCCTAATCATACGAGACAAGGTACTTTGCAGTCGAATGACATTGGAGATTGTGATTTTGCGGTTTTGCGATTGCTATTGTCTCTGCTTGCGGGCACACGCTACCTCTGATAACAGTTCCCTTTGGACGTTTGCTCGTTAATCTTACTTCCACATCCTCTTTTCTATACTTCGTTTTCTGTGACTTTTTTTTTGCTTGAAAAGGGGCCGGGTATGAAAAATTAGAGAAAAATAGTTAAAAGATAAATTTCAAAGGTTCATTTGGAAATGGAAATCGGTGATTTTGCAAAAATTTAACAGTAAAAAAGTATTTCAACTTTAAATGTTCATTTAGCTATTTTTCTCAGAGGGTTGAAAAAATTAAAATTTTTCTTCCAATCTTAATTTATTTTTTTGAAAAATAAATTAGCATAGTCTTAGTCAAACTTTTCAAAGAAGCGTTTCAAATGATTGCACAACATTATGACAGAGCTTCTAAGGCTTTTAAGAAGCTAAAAAAACTCTTTTTAAAAAAAGATTTCACGGGCACCATAATAATAAAAATGAAAGAGCCTTTAATTTTTCGTTCTGAAAAAAGGACTTTTTGTTCGTGTAAATTGAAAAAAATTTTTTTATTCGTTCGAATTTTGAAAGCCTCCCCAAAGCAAAAATACTTAAAGTGAAAAAAAGAGTCCCTTCCAAAAATAATTATCATCACATGCACTGACTGAGAACTAAATTTTCTTTTCCTCTCATTGCAACAGTCAAGAATCACGAGAAAAAGAAATTCCTTCCTGTTTACCTTTCCGATGGAACTGGGATTCAGAGGAACTGAATTCCAATCTTAAGTAGAATTTAATAAAATACAAAACCGTAGGGTCAAAAAAATGCGATAGAGATTATCGATTGATGGTGGGAAGTGATTCGATAAGTTGCAAAATATGTGTAGTGGCGTGGGAACTTTTGTTTGCCAAAGCGTGACAGACCACATATTTGTCAAGACTCTAACTCAAAAATCAGAAAAAATAAATAAAACGATCGAAGGAAAAAGCGGTAATATTTTTGGATCGCAACTTTGAAAACTGTAGTTTCCATGCCAAAATGTCTTATCATCAGCGAATCTCCCGAAGGTTAATATTTCCTCGCTAATATGAGCCTTTTTTGTGTTTTTGAAGGTTCATGAGCAGGAGAAGGAATTTTTCAGAAAATTAGCAAGAAAAATTAAACGAGTTCAGAGAGTTCTTCGCAAACACGGAATTTTGAATTTTTCAAGAAAATGTGGTGATTTTTTTTCCAACAAAGTTTATTAAAGAGCCAAATATACCTTCAAAATAGATCCCGCTTCAAAAAAATATTCAAAAAAATAAACTAAAGGATACAGGAAGAAATGTGATATCAAAGATCAATGAAGATTCATAAGAAAAAAATCCAAAAAAACTAAAGGTTTCACTCAAAAAAACAGTTATTTTTTTCGAGATGGAAGCCAGAAACAGGCCAATAAGACTTCAAACACACAAGAAAAATGGAGAAAATTTAAACTATCCAAGAAAAAATACTGAATTTCTCAGCCCAAAAAGCGCAATTCTCTTATCATTGCTGTCTCTCTTCATTTGCGATACATTTTGCAAGTAGGAGAGTTTCTTTGGCGTCAACAACTTGAATAGTACACTGTCTAAGTTTACAGGTCAAGAGAAGGGAGAAAAATTGAACGATAATGACAGCCGATCTTGAAACACTCAAACAGAACGTTTTCCGCATGATCATAATGTCTCGCAACGCAAACCTTCCGGTTCGTTTGTAATCTTGAGTTACTGATTATCACAGTCTGTTCGAAAACGATTGCTCTAGCTAGGCGCCAACTCTTTGTTTGGTAAAAAGTTCATTTTTGTGTTTCTTTCAAAGACATAACTTATGAAGTTGGATTTTTTACTTTTTTAAAGGCTTTTTACTCTCCTTTTTGTGAAAAAATCTTTTTTCTTTGTGAATTTCTATGGTTGACAAATTAGAAGCTATCTAAAAGATACATTTTACAAAAAGCTTATGAACATCCGAGGAAAAAAACCAATTGCTCGAAGAAGCCTCAAAGATTCTTCCAAGCTTGTTGAATAGGTAAAAAAATATTAATTTTTTTGGTTTTTTTATAGCTTTGAATCGGAAAAACTAAAAAAAGTAGTCCTGCTAGTAATTTCTGAAATATTTCATGAAAAAAATCAAAAAAATCAAAAAAAGTTCATAATTTTTTTCATCCAACTCAATTATTGACAGAATTCAACGACAGAAGACGTCCGCCCTCCACTCAAGTTCAACGGGGTAAACATTTCCATTGATTGCAATAAAGGGAAAAAAACACGTTCAGAACGCACGAAGTCCATACTCCAGGTCGCCGATGGCTGTGAAGAAGTCTCAACCGACCCTTGTTTTCAAAGATGTTAGTTTTGACATTTTTTTCGTTTTCCACTGAAAACTGACTCAGAATCCACTCCGAGCTTATGAGGACTTGATACCAAGCATCCATCAGAAGTTCCGGTCAACTTCTATTTCGCTCCCTTTGATCTCTCCAGTAAACATTGAAGCAGATCCGCGACAGGTTAGTTCTTCCGAAAAGCATGTTATTTTTTGTGATTATCAGAAATTGTTTCGAAATGGAACTCCATAATGAAGATGAGTGTTCTTGATTTTTCCGGTTTGAGACCGTGAACAAAATCTTTTTCACTGCGTTCGTCCTTGCCAAAAGCGTGAGAAAGGAGAGAGAAACGTTGTAAAATCAGTCTTGGAGCCTTGTGATAAACTGCTTCGTATGGAAGATTGCCGAAGTCACATAAAGTCCAACGCCATGAGATTAATTGCTTTGGCGATCATGGCGTTTTATAATGGATAATCAAATCGTTAGAACACAAAAGTACGGATAAAGTGGATTTTCATAAAAAAAAGCAAGGAACTACAAGAATTGAAGTCTTTGTAAACCTCTATTTTTTTTTTGATTGGTGAGCTACCTGCCAATAAAATCCTCCACAGAGCGATTTTTCATTAAAATCGCTAAAAATCTTGATTTCTAATTCAACTTTGATAGAACCATTGTTTGAAAAAAAAATGGAACTTTTCAGTCAACCAGCCCTTCCAATGCGGCTGTTGTCCCTACGCAGCCCGACACCTCTTCATTGTTTTGTGAGTTTCAAAACTATTTTTCCCACAAAAAGTTCAATTCAGCCACCTTTAACAACCGGTCGCCACAGCTGTTTCCAGGTAAAAGCCCCCAAATGATGGAAACTTTAATTTTTTTTTTCAGAGTTTGGAGAGTTATTAAATTCCGCTTTCTCATTCAGCCAAACGAATTTGGATCGATATAGTCCTCTCATACGAATGTAGCTGAAAATTTTCTTTTTGAAATTAATAAAAATGTTTTTTGTAGCTCTGAATCGAGGACGCCATCGCCTCCTTTTCCGACAGGTATAATTATTCAAGACAACAGTCGATTGAAATAAAATTCAGTTTCGCTGCCCGAACCTCTAGACGAAGAAGAACGAGAGGAGTTACTTTGTGAGTCCTTTTAAGGTTCAAATTAGGAAAAAAGACATTTTTCAGCTCGAGGACCTTCTCGGCTTATCGGATTCCTGGTCACTGAAGCCATGAGGCCTGAGACGGATCATATTATTCAATGGACCGGTCGAGGATTAGAATTTTTCATCGCTGACAAGGAAAAATGCGCCAATATGTGGGGAAGAAGAAAACATAACAGTATGGTTAGTGAATCGGTAGAATTTCTTTTCAACTCTGGACTCTTTTGAAAAGTCTTCTATACATTTTAACAGATTCCCGATACGTTCTATTTCAAAATATTGTAAGGATTTTCAGAAAATGACCTACGATAAACTGGCCCGAGCTATACGGGAAAAATACCAGCATAAGAACCGACCACAGTCTGGACAGTTGAGAAAAAGGATGTCGTGAGTTTTCTATGACTTTTTTTCCTACCGAGTTTCTCAACAAGTTTTACTTTTTTTATCTCTGTTTCTAAAGAAGAATGTAAAAAGCTATTTGTTGGTTTTCTCCTTCATTTCATCAAAAGGTGCTTCAAAAACTATTGAAAAAGTTCTCGTTTCTGTTTCAGAAACATTTGTTTTTTCAGATAAATTATGATTTTCAGGAACTTACGCCTACATATTCACGGAGAAAGCCTATCCAGAAATGGAAAAGTTCACAAAGATGAGGATTCCGGACATCGAAAGATACGCAAGGAAATACGCTACCCGGTATCCTGAAGATTAGAAGCTTGAAAGTTCGATTATTTCACTTTGTTTAAACTATTATTTTCTTTGTTTTGTTCGTTGGCGTTCCTTTGGACCCTTTCAGAAAACTTAACCTTAATGTTATTATAATAATGGGATGACGCATTTCCTGTCCTTCCCGCTTTTAGAAGTTTTTCTCAGGGCGTTTTTCGCTTGCCTTTTTTTCGTTGTTTACAAGATTATTTTTTTTGTTTCTGAGTGACGCATAAGGCAAGCGCCTTGTTGTTGAAATTCATATTGTACAACTATCAAAAGTTCGATCAGTCATGCTCGACTTCAAGCAGCCTTTTCATCGCAATTGTGAGTTGCTCGCTTCGTTTTTCCTTCCCTTATTTCTCTGAAATTCCCCGATTTCAATTTACTGTCGGTTTTCCTTGTAGGAAGTTGCTCCACTTGTTCCGCCGGTTTCTTTCAACACTTTTGATAAGGAATATTCTCATAAAATATTTGAATTTATTTTGATACGTCATGCCACGGTTAATGAAATATTTCAATATATCAAACTTTTGAAACAACTGAATAAAAAAATCATTTCTTGAAGTTATTGGCTCGAAAGCACGTACAGTTCTCTTACGAAAGATACAAAAAAAGGTTTTTTTGATTCAACTATCTTTTTATGAGAATCAATAGTTCTGAATTTTTTTGAAGTTGTGAAGACTGTTATTTGTGGCACTCTGGTGGAATTCCAACTCACAAAAAAAGAAAAAGTTCAGAAAGATTGAACTTTATAGAAGAAAGTTTTGAACAAAAAAATTTTTTTTCAGTACACTTTCGGTGTTATGTTTCAGTTGTATGAAAAAAATATTTTCCTGAATTTTCGTCTTTATGGAAAAGAGAAAAATCTAAAAGCCTCCAATAGTTTATGAACCTAGAAAGGTCTAAAAATTCACTATAAAATTTCAAAGATCTTTTTTTTTTAAATATAATGATTTCCTCATTTCTAAGCGAAACAAATTCTCAAAAACACTTATGAAATCATTTTCATTTCATAAATATCTTTCTCAGCCGTAGAATTCCTCTGGGCTTACCTGTTCCGGTTATGTATGACCCCCGCAGCTAACAGCCTCATCACCTGGACAGGTGAGTTTTCTTCTTCTCATATTTGATAGTTCATTTGGAAACAAATAGGTTACGGCCTGCAGTTCAAAATTATCAATTGGAATACGTTGGCACAGCTTTACTACTGTCCTCATAACACCTTGGCGTTTAATGAAGATGTGAGGAATATTTCGAAGGAAACTTGGAAACAAAAATTGATTAATTAAGGAGATAGAAAACATTTTCCGGAGGGCGATCAATCGAAGCTCTGCGATTGACTACGTTTTCAACAAAAACGGTTGGTTAATTATTACCTCACCAGGTGACGTTTTCTAGCCACCGGTACAATTTTTGATGAAACTTGGCTGAAATTTACTTTGTATCTACTGATATCAAAACATTCTCTCAATAGACCTTGTTTTCAATTTATGAAGCTTCGAAGATTGCAAAATACGCTAATTTAAGCTTTTGAAGCGCCTTAACTCGGAAACCAGATCTATTTCTTTTTTTTTTCTGAAATCAAAAGACCCTAGAGTATACTTCAGCAAAGTTTCATCGAAAGTTCAACACTTAAAGCTAAAAAAAATCAAGTTTTTTTTTAACAACCAAAAACCAAAATTGTGGAGAAAAATTACCTTTTTTTGTGAGTAGTTAATCTATTGAAAAATCTAGTGAGTTTTCCAGTCTACTCTGAAGTTTTAGGAGTTGATATCTGCTCCTATAGATATTATTTTTCAGGCACGATCGACTTCATGTTCACTGAGCTCCGTGTGCCCGACATGGAAGCCTACACCGGCATGCGTATCAACGAAATAATGGAATATTCGAGATGTTTCCGAGTCGACGGTCGCTAGGAAATTTGATACCAGCCTTTTTTTCCATTTTCTCCCGTTTTGAAGTATCAGTTTTTGAAACTGAATGTGTACATTCATCCCCGAATCTTTCACCAAAAACCCCTTCGCCTTAAAGTTTACGATAAAGATTTTTTTCCAATTGCTTCCAAATTTCGAGGACATTTTCAAGGGGAAAGTGAGGTCGATAACTTTTAAGTCAAGCAAGAAGTCATTTTGAAATGATTCTCGCTGATTTTAAGTATTTTTTTGAATCTATGAGTAACTCTTGATTTATTAGACTGGATTCTAGATACAATAGGTTTGGAAATAATCAAATATGGTATTGATTTTTCATTACAACCATAGGTTTTTTCATGTTTCTAGGATCTTTTTGTGTTTTAAAGGTGCTGGAGACGTCGAAAACTGCAAGTATTAGGTTCTCTGGATGTTTTTATAAGGCTAACGACACGAAAAATACCTCTGGTTAAGCTTTCTCCAACTCATGTTGCTTGATGATGTTGCGAGGCTCAGGTTCCCACGAAAAATACTGGATTTTCGCTATAAAGTGCATCCGTTTCCCTCCTCTGCATTGAGAAAAAAACATAGGTTCTTTTGAATGTATCATTGAATATTCTACACGCTTCCGATGCCGAGAAATCGCTCTAAAATTCTGGCGCAAAAATCAGTATGCCATAAATTTTATGCAAGGAGCCGAGAATGGAGGAAAAAAAAAAACTGGCCTCGACTTCCTCTTTAGCGCTTCTGCTCGTTTTCCGAGGCGCTTACTAGGCGAATCGATCTTCTGCTTTTCCTCCATCTTTCGGGGCTGTGCCAGTGTGTTTTTCCCTTTTTTCGCCCTGGGGTCGGTTCGAGTATTTGTCATCGAGCCGCCTATCTCCATTATTTTGCTTTTTGCAGCTTCCTTCGCGCCCATTTCGTTTGTTTTTTTTGCGGCTCCGGGGTTTCTAACAGCTCGCTGAAGACTCGGCAAACAAAAACTATAGCTTCTTTTTTTTATTTCTTGCTGAGAAAAGGGTTTTTTGTCTTTTTATCAAATAAAGTTCAATTTTGGAAGTGTTTGCTAAAAAAAGAATCTTTTAAATATTTTTTCTTTTTTCTAGAGAAGAGCCTCTTTTTTTTCAAAACCTGTATCAAATGTTTCCCGAAAGAAAAAAGATCATTTTTGTTCATTTTTTTCTATTGAGGAACTCCGGAGTTCTTTCTCTTTCTCAATGTGACCCCTGGGCCCAAATTTTATAAGTTTTCGGAAAAACGAGCCTGTTTTTCTTGCGGGGGCTTATCTCGGAATTTTCTCCTGTTTCTCCGATATCCGACATTTTTTGAATTTTTCTGAAGGAATGGAGCCTTTTTTGGTCTGAATAACTTTTTCTGTCCAACCTTTGATCTCTAGACTCGTACATTTGAATTTTTCACTATAAAAACTGCTTTTTTTCCAGGCCTAAATTCTATCGAAAAATCACTGAGTCCTCTTTTTGCTGTTTTGCTTCTGATATATTAACGCGTATTTTTGAATTTTCCAAAAAAAGAACGGTTATTTTTGCTCTGAAGAATGTCTCTTAAGAAGTCACGGATTTTTTTTCTTGTCTGACGTGACCTCTGGACCCGTATTTTCGCACTTATCGAGAGAAAAACTGTTCTCTATCAAGAAATTACAGATTTTCCTGTTTTTTCTATCTAACGAACTCTGGGCCCGTTTTTTCAAACTAACAAAAAAATGCTTTTTTTTGCTCTGAATAACTTTTCTGGAGGATATTGACCTCTGTACGCGTATTTTTGTATTTTTCGTTGCTTATGGGTGTTAAATTGTTTGTGAAGGCAGAGTGAACACGTAGTTGCAAGTGTTTGCTCCGTGATTGTATGTGAAGAGGCTCGGCAACGAGTGCGGCAACCCGCCCCAAGCTCCATTGGCTTCAAATCGCCTTCACGTATATTTCATCTCGATTCCAGCCACCGACCTTCTTCCGAAAATGTCGTCCAGAAAGTGAGTTGTGTTCGCTCCTCCATTTGGCTCTCTTGCTTCCTGTGTCTAGGGAAAATTTCTTCGGTGATGTATGGAGCCAGTCAGAAGTTTTCTGATGAGAAAAAATATGGCTTAGCTCCCAAGTTTTCCAGAAAACAAGAAAAGGTTTTGGATTCTCAGTTGTGTGGAAACCATGAAAATCATAAATCTAAGCTTCCAAATTGTTTCAAATAACAATAACACGCCTCCAAAATCTGGAATTTTGAACTAAATTTTTCGCGTTTTGATAATCAAGGTTTTTCACCTCATTCAGTTTTCCCAAGATTCTTAAGTTTTTTTTAATTTCAAGTTCTTTTAAAATTTTCAAAGATATAGCCTGAAATTTAATTTTGTAGTCGTGATCGTGAAAATTTGTAGCTTTTTTCCCATCCAGCTTCATTTCCTCTAAGCTTCGCGTTGCCATGCTAAATAGACTTCTATCTCGCACTTGTTTTATATCTACTTGTTAGCTCATTTTTCGAAAATATTTTTAAAGTCTCCAGAAGTTTGAAATGAAAATTTAGTTTTTTTCAGGCCCAAAAATAGATCGCGTAAGGTTTTCTAGTTGTTCATGGGAGCAATTTTAATTTTGAGCTTTCAAAAAAAATGTAATTAGGCTCTAGTTGCAATCTTCTGCACTCTCTTTTATTAAAAGTAACCTCATCAATGAAATGCGATTTTTTTCTATGTAGCGTATGAATGAAAAAGTCATGAGATATTTTTCAGCTTTGAGGTGTTTCTAAAAGTAGATATCGTCATTTTTCAGCATGAAAAAAGCATTTGTTTACTTCAGTTTTCTTTTCGAAATAAGAAAAAGCTTACGAGAGACAGTTACTTAAAAAGAAGGCTAGGTTCAAATTTCAAATTTTAATTTCTTCAATTTTATTAATTCTAGAAAATAATGAGGTTTTTGTCAACTTAAAACGTTTCCGGCAATCGATGCGGGTGGCTCAGAGGTGAAAAGCGAAATCCATTGAAAAACCGAGGTGCGAAAACGATTCCAATGCGGATTCTGGTCTGAGAGTTACACACCAGCCGCCGGCATGGCTTTCAGCTGCTAAACTCATCAATTACACGCTTCCCGGATTCAAATGACCAACATATTTCATTTTTCCCCATTCTCGCGCCGCCTTGCTTGTTTTTCTGTTTTCTCTCGAAAATTCTCTCGACATGGGACCAGCTCAACTTGAATATTCTTTCTGACAAAAAAAAATGTAACAAATGGAAGAAGGAAAGGAACCGACAGAGAAGAGAGAAAATTCGGTTTTGGGAAAAGAAATGAGATAAAGTAGAGTTTTTTCCCCCTCCGCTTTAGTTTGTTCCTCTTTTAAGCTAGATAGAAGCTTTGTCGGCTAGTATTTTCTTGAATACATTTTTTTCAAACTCATCTCAACTATGAAAAGAGTGTGAATGTCTCAAAAAAATAGAACTTAAAAATATATTTAGACTCATTTCTACCGAAAAAAATGGTTTTTTTCATCATTTTTCCTAATTATTTTTTTAATACTTTTGAATTTCTATTGAGCTTTGCAGGAATTTTTCATCTCTTTCCAAAAAAACATTCATATTTCTATAAACTTTTCAAAAGCTCTCTATCTTTGAATAAAGGAGCTCACTCCGCTCTCTTACCACCATTACTCGTTTTTCATAGACTTCGGAAAAAAAAATGCAAAATCAAAGCCGGAAGACATTAATTGACATTTTTCAAAAATTTCAAAGTCAAGTTATAAATTGTTATTGTGAGAAAATGAGGAGTATTGAATTTTTTCAAATTTCTTCTGAACTTTTTTTCAAACGTCCATATGTAAATAATTGATAATTTCGGAGTTTGCAGAGTTTCACGAGCCGCTCATTACGACGGTGCGCCGCCGCAACCGACCAACGCCATGAGTGTCGTCGCAGAAGGCCATTTTCGGTTTGTTTGTAGTTCATTTTTTCTTGATTTTCATTCCTGAGAGTGCGAATAAAGTTTCTGGGATACTGAGAATGTTTCTATGATTTCTATGAAAGAGAACGCTCTGGTTGTCTTGGTTATAATTAATGCGCTCCGAAATTTGCTTCTTCTTCTTTTCAACTTTTTGTTCTGTTTTGCCGGAAATATAGAACTGAAAATTTTGTCTTTTTTGTTGGTTTTTGTCGTTTAGCGCCTCTCAGCCTAATTCAAAAAAATTCTTTTTTTCATTAAAATTCTCAATCACAGTCTGCTTCGTAAATTTGATTTTTGCTTCACAGTTCGTTCAAAATGATTCAAAATGTCGTTCTACTGAAAATTTGGCTCGACATGATGCAATCGATTATTTTCAAGTTGCACCCGACCAAAAGCTACCTGAGCACTTCAGCACAATTTAGGTGACTACCTTCCAGATTACATCAACAAAACGTCTTGAACTTTTCATAAGCCTTCTAGTTCTAGAAAACCCGGTATGACTCGAGTCGTTTTTCTTAAAATCATGACGTTTCGAAATGAACCGACTGAATCTACCTATAGCCTCTTTTTCCTCCCTAAAATCTGAAAAATGCCAGCTTTCCATTTTCAATTGACCTAGTTTTAGGAAACAACCGTTTTTCGATGACGAACAAGGTTATTATTACATCTCTGCATACATAGATTTGAAATGAAAACCAAACAGAAGCCGCCCGAAAAACTCCGTTTCTCATGCACAAAGCCTTTTTTCCAGGTTTTTGTGAAACTTTTTCGCACACGACGTATTTAATTTCTGGATTTTTTATCTCTGGTGGGAAAATCTGCTGTTTTTTTCAACTGTCTTTGTATTGGAGGGAACTGAATTTTCCCTTTGTTGGCCTAATTTTGTTAGACGTTTATCTCATTTCGGTTCCTTTCTTAAATTGGATCCAAGAGCAGTCTTTGAGCTCGCAAGATTTTCCCTCATTTCCTTGTTGGTTTTATATTCCTTCACTGAATTGTATTTTATGTAAGTTTTCTTTTTTGGTGATTCCCTCATTAGTCAGAAATAGAGTCCCATTGGAACATCTTCGTTTTTTCTTTGAGTTAAGGCGCTTCAAAATAAGTAAAACAAACTTCTTGAACTTCTTGGGAAGAATTCTAAAGCTATATGTTCCTTTTTTAAAGCGCCATAACTTGAACAGAAGTTTTATTGTCAAGAATCATTCCTGAGCTCAAATAAGGATCCTAAAGTACAATTCAGTATAAAGCATTACTTTGAAAAAGTTCTTGAGCTTTCGTGAAAAAAAAAATATAAAATCAAAAAGTTACAGAGGGATGAAAGAACTCCTGTCCTCGATGGATCTGGACACAGATGCCAACACGGTTTCCGAGTTCAAAGAACGAACTCATATGCTTTGCGCAAGGTTGGAACAAATCTTCAAATTGTCCTTCTGATTCTTTTGTTTGAGATTTCTTGGTGGAGCGTGGAAAACAGTCCCATTGGAACATCTTCGCATCAGTCGCATCAAGTTAGTTTTTTCTGCTCAGTATTCATAGCCATCAGGAAATTTAGAAGTGGCAGGGTTTGTGAGGGTGCAAAGAAGTAGATTAAATTGGATTTTCTATCTTGAATTGGACTTTTGAATCTCTGGAACTTCACATTGGCTACAATTTCCCGATCAAAAACCAAAAAAAAATTGGTGACCAAACTCGGAATCTTAGCTTTGCGTGTTTTTATGTCTTTATCACATCGTTTTCAAGGGTTTAATGATTATTGGGGTAGAGTATAAGTTGTAGCAGAACTGAAAGTTACAAAAACTGAGCTGATTACGACCAAAGGTTGGGGAATGAACACAAGTATATATTTATATATGGACAAAGGCTGAGACGGTACAGAAAAAGCACAGAAAAAGTAAGTAAGTATACAAGTTTCATGTACAAAGATCTGATTGAAATACGAAAACAGTAGATATTTCAAGATTTGATAGTAGGGAACAAAAAAATGGAAGTAAAAATTGAGCATGAAAATGTTGGTCACAGGGAAAGGCCACGTATCGAAAGAAAAATTTACCTGATTCATTCAAGAAAGTGGAATTATTTACATGTGATCAATTTGAAAAGAAATAAATTAGTTGAAAGGATGAATGAGTAAAAGCTCCTTTGTTGGTAGAAAGCCGGTGAAGGTCACCGTTTTGATGAGAGGGCTACGGCTTCAACCTTGCTGGTCAGGCGAGTTAACGTCGCACCGCTCTCCGAGGGTAGCTGTTCCTGAGGCGTTGTGAAAACAGTTTTAATCAGGAGTGCCAATAAGTAATGCTTCAAAGGCCAAGTCGAAAGCTTTAAAATAATGATAATGTGCTATTTTTCGGAAAAAATCGCGATCTTCCAGTAGAATAACGGCAGCTTACAACCGCCATACGCTCCAGCCATTTATAAAGCAATTATTGTTTTTTTCAAATATAAAAAAATTCCAAAAATGCAAATTTTTTTGAATATGTTTGCAAATTTTCACTCAAAGTAAAAATTCGCTTCAAAAAAAGTTGTTTTTAGTGCAATTTCTTTTTTTATTGATTGCTAAATTGAAAAATTTCCATAAATTTTTTTGCTATTGTCAGAATTTTTTTATAATTTTTTTCTTCTAATTGAAAAAAACTTTTAACTTACGAAAAACTTTCAAAAAAACCTGCTCACGACCGTTGAAGTCACAAGACAGTTTCGATGAACTGAGCCGTTTTTTTCAAAAACAAGTTTTGAGGTGTTATAATTTATAATTTATTTTAATTTTTTTGTAAACGAGAATGGAACTAGAAAAAAACAAATTTATTGTATTTTCTCGGATAAACCGCAAAACCAATTTTCTCTAAATTTTTTTGAGCTTCAAAAATTTGTTTAACCTGATAGCTGCTTCAATTTTGAATTTAGAACAGTTCAGTTTTTTTCGAAAAAAATTGAGGATGAAAAAGTTATGACGTAAAATGTTGCGCGCCGGTGACAATATTTTCCTTTGAGGTCTTTATGTTTCATTTTTTTCTTTCATTTTATCGAAGGAACTTGAACTTATGCTATTTTCTAGAAAAAAATGATATATATTTATTTTTGAACATTTGAACAAAAAGTACTGTGTTTGAACAGAAACTGCCAAAAATATTAACTTTCGGCGAGGAAAAGGACGTCCGGCCGTCGCGGTTATCCGGTGGCGAAAACCACTGCCGGTCGGGTGAAGAACAACAGGGGGGTATAAAAAAAGAACGGCGCTTGTTCGGTCATCGGGGCTCTGCCCCAAGATTGTCAAATGTTGAGTCTGCGGTCCGGATCCGACATTCCAGGTTCAAATCGTGGTTTGGCCTGGAGTGTTGAGGCTAACATGACCGCGACTCTTTTGAAATTTTTTTTACAGTTTTTTTAAAATAATCTTTTGCATTTTTTTCAAAAAAAGTTTCTTTGAAGAAGCAATGTTTTTTTCATAATATTCGATAGATGGTGCTACCAAATTTCATAGTCTGTCAATTTTCGATATAAGGCTGACTAAAAAAAAAAGATTTATGGCCCAAAAAATTAGGCGTTCAGCTGAAGGCTCAATCTTCCGAATCAGGCCGTATTTTCATCCATTTCGCGCATTCACGCACGCTTTCTCGAATGTTTCTTTTCTGCTAAACCTGGGGTAGTTCATGCTAAACATAATCGCCAACTAACTTCATAACTTCCACATAACCCAACTCAAAAAAAATCGTGATAAACTTCCCGAAAATCCTGGGAAACTTCTTTGAGCTTCGTTTTTGACCATAAATTGTTTCCCTGATCAACCATTTTTGAAAATTTCCCACATTATGAATATTGACAGTCTCTTCTATCGCATATTTAAAAATGTTTTTTTAATAAAAAAAGTTCATTTTTTTGCTCAGAGACCGAAACTGATATGTCAAATTTTTTTTTTGAAATATAAAAGTTGCGGTGATATGAAAAAAGGCCAGCGAATTTCGCAAGGCGATTTTTCCGAATTTCCGAAACTTATAAATTTTCCCAGATCTTCAAACCAGGTCAAAAAATGTCTCCTGAAAGTTTCGGTAGCTGATGACCCTTAAAATGCACACTTCGAACTTTTAATTCCCTTCGCAGCCAGACGACAACGCCACTATCTATGTTATCAGATCGTACGTGGAGTTTTGAAGCTTCCGATTTGGGAATTTGCCACGAAACTTTGATTAGGAGAAAAAAAACGCGTGTTATCGCTAAAAATTGTCTTGCTTGTTATCGATTCGCTACTTGTTCATCTTTTGAAACTCTCAGACAATCTCAAATGAAGAACTCTATACCATGAGAAAGTTCAATTTGCTTGTTAGACTGAATCAACAAAAAATCTATTTTGACAATTTTCGAAAAACAATGCTCCGTAGGTGGAAAATCTTTCATTCTTCCTTTATGTATAAGTTTTCACATTTCACAAGTTCCACTGAGTTATCATTAAGTAGAAATCGGTCGCTTCCTGAGTTGCACCGTTTTCAGCGGCCTTCTAGGCGCGATGGTACTGAAAAAATGAAGTTCGATAGTTATAGAAGAGAAAAAGTTACAATTGGCTATAAGTGCCGCGGACGTAGTCAGTATAAACCTTCAAACCCTGAAGATTCTCATTGTTGTCGTCTTCGAATCGTTCTAGAAAGTTCATTTGAATTGGAACCAGGAAATCTTGGCAAAACTCACCAGCAACAATAATAATGGAGAAATTGGCCTGGTGAGTACGTTGCAAGCTGAAAAAGCCCTTGGAAAAAATGCAAAGTGAAGGAAAGCTGACAACATCATTGCCTCTTCATAGAAATCTAGAGAATCTCTGTATGGGTGCGACATTTCATGACGTTTGGGATCCTGACGCCATCGAACGTATTCTCCGCGCAAAGCGAACCATTCTTGCTTGAGGCGTCGACATTCCAAGTTGGAGACTGAAATTCTTCTTTCAAACACTTTGAAATCGACCGCTTTTCATTTTCAATCAGAAGTAGGAAAATTTCTGGATATTTGCCCAATTTTCAAGCATCGATGTCTTTTTGAACAGATGTCGAAAAGTTTTTTTTCAAATTTGAAAATCTTAGGGCTTCCTGGCACGAATTTTTTCATATTTTCATATTTATCTGCCGTTAAAATTCTGGAATAATGTAATAAAGTTTTTTTGACTAGAATGTCGAACTTCCTGATTTTACGGAAAGTTTCAAGATTTTTTTAGATTGAGTTTAAGATTTTTGAGAAAAAAATCGAATCCTTCTTCTCAAACTAAGATTTTCCTGGCAGTTACTAAGAATTGTTTTTTTTTTTCTTGTTAAAAAAATATTTTTTTTTTCAATTTTCGATTAAAACCTCGGCGTTTTTGAATCGGGATGCACGAAATTTTTTTCCGACTTCCGAGCTTTCAACGATTGAGTTTCATTTAAATAAATTGAGGAAGGTTTTTTAATTAGAAAGAAAAACGAACAACTCCAATTCCTGTGGATACGACGACTCAGAGACACGAGAATTCTCAACCAAGTGAACACCCAGAGAGATTGGTAGTGATAACGATGACCGGGGAACCAAACATAACGATTATCCTTGATCACCTTCAGAAAGATCCGAGTTTCGCGGTACGAAAACTCCATCTCAACAAAAAAAATCATTCTTTCTTTAAATCAAGTTTGTTCCATGCAATGTTAGATGGATGAGATTTGAAATAGAATATATTTAAGAATTTTATGCGTCGTAATGCGAAAAATTTGAAAGCTGCTGAGACTAGGTCTGTTTTTAATGCGTTTTTGGAAATTTATGCGTCTTAATAGAAAAAAACTAACCTTCCGAAGCCAAAGAAAAAATGATAGGGGAGCAGAAAATGTAGGGGACAGATAGGCGGGAACTATTTCTTGATAGCTGGTGAGGTTTAAACAATGGCGAAAAGTATGTGAAGCGGCACAGTTGCACAGTTGTGCGCCGTGTGGGTCGGTGAAAAAACGGAGCAGCAATTTTTTTTTCCCCCGATTTCGTCGACGGCCTGGTCAGCTGCTTGTTATGTCTTATTTCCCTTCTTTTTCGTGTTTCTCGAAGATTTAATTCAAAATCGGGAAAATATCGGACCATTCTCTCACAAAAAGATTAGCAGGCTGTTGAAATTTCTCTGAATTTGGATGCGAAAAAATATTTTCTTGAATGGGACGATGTGACATTTTTGTCTAATACTAACTATATGTGAATTCAAGTTTTAACATCAGTTTTGTCTTGAATGGACAAATTTTATTAGAAGCTGTTGATTCGAATTTATACGGCTTGAAAAAAATTCATAAACCAAAGTCAAAAAAAGTTTATTTATTTTTTTCGTAACAAAGAAACAAAGTGAACCTTCCAATAAACGCTTTTCGGATTTTCGATCCGATAGGAATATTTCTGGTCCTTTTTCATTCGTTTAACAAGGACTCTTTTTGAAAACTATTTCTTATAAGATCGTGAATTGAGATAAGATCAGAACGAAAATTGCTATCATTACGTTTACAATTCGAAAAACGTTTGAACAAAAACTCGCAGGAATTCTTTCGAATGATAAAAATAACTTTGTTGCGATTTTTCCGCGAACTTTAACATCAAACTGAGAAAACCGGCATTTAGATATCATCGAGGCAACATAAGTGTAAGTATCACGTGCAACATACGAAAGTAAAAAAAGAATAGTAAAAACTTGAATAAAATTAAAAATTAACGATTGACAGAAGAGTGTGGAGGGATCAGCTGAAGTTGGATGCCCGCGAAAGGTCGCCGATGTCGGCTGTAGGCGCTGAAAATGCAGTTCATTTATTGCTATCTTAGGACAGACAACAATATTTCAATTATCAGCGGGAAAATGTACAGAAAGTAGCAATTTTGAGTACCGTGAAGGGCGATTGTACGATTTAATCCTTTTTAGCTTAATTTTTTTATTGGAATTTTGTTTTTTTGGATGAATTGATAAAAAAACAGTGCATTCCGACCATGATTTTTCAGAAAATTGTATAATTTCATGAGAATCGTCAAGAAGTCGAGCCTAAAATCTATTTTTTGCACTTTCGAAAAATCATATCGCAGGTAGCGACTGTAAGCTATTTTCATCTAGACTTTGAGAAAGTGTTTGAGCAAATTTATAGACAATTCCAAAGTAAAATGACCTCCCTTGCTAGCTATGGAGTATACTTACATCGGGTAACGCCGAGCGATGGAGTTCGCAAGAGTTCTTCTGGGCCCAGCACAGGAATTTTCACTTCGCACATCTTCGAATGGGTTTTCTAAATAATTGGAATGGCTGATACGACGGTAAATTTCGAAATTTACCTGGCCTCAGAGTTGTCCCAAAATCAAACCCGAGAACATTTTGGGCACTAAAAAATTGAAATCAGAAATGAGACGAATGTTGAAGAACTGACTATATGATAACGGGTTCATAAAAATGAAGCTCCACTCTGAATGGGTAATAGGAAAGGCGATGATCTGGGCAGGAGCGCCACTCCAGGTATTCGTTCATAAGTCTCACCCAAAGTTGTTGGACTGCGATGACTGAAATCGTCCTGTTGTGATGCTCTTAAATATTATTCTGACTATACTCCGCATTTTAGTGGGGAATTGAAAGTTTTGTTAGTCGTCTGAAACACCGGAAGATTTTTCAGTGGTTTCTTTCTCAAGTAGATCCCCAAAAGTTGGACAACTCGCATATGTCGCTCGCAAGTTGGAAACAATACGGTCTCTTTTTGACGGCTTCTGCGGCATCCAGATGTGCCACACTCGCCTTTTGTGAATTTTTTCCGCATTGACCTTTTATCTGAATAAACAAGGCCTGATGTCCGAAAAAGCGCAAGGAAAACTTTCTAACTTGAAAAAATAGTTTCTATGGATGGAACTTTTGTAGGATGCTCAAAAGTTCGGAAGAATAATTTTAGAATTCACGAACCATTTGTGCGCATCCTGAATGTTTGATAAATCCTGTCTTTTATTGATGTCCAAACGTAGTTGCACAGTTCGACCATTGGGAAATCCGTGCTACGAAGGTCCCAAAGACATGGATTATTTCTGATCCATCCAATAATGATTCGCATTTGACTTTCTGTCAGAAAATGCGGCATTTTTTCGTTCGTCTGAAAAAGTTGGAGCTTTCAGAGCATTGAAACTGTTGAGACGAAATTTTATATGAAAAATTTCGGATTTTGCAATTTGGAGGAAGATTTCTGCTCATTAACAGAAATCTTCAAAAAATTCGAAGAAGCCTACTGACTGGCCTTCATATCTCAGATTAACCGAAAGTTAGTTAATTTAAAGGCGAAGAAACCTAAATCAATAAATATTTTCAAATAGGATGAGGCAAGGTGAAAAATTGAAATAATCGATGATTTTTTTATAAGTTGTAAGTTTGAAAAAAATTTCCTGGTTTGTATTCCGCTCGCTTACATTTTCTAACATAATTTTGTATGAATCCAGAAAGATTTGACAGAAAAATTCATTATTAAAGATACCTTTTTTTCTCAAAGCTCGAAATCAAGGTTTTGGGATGTTAAAACGGCATGGGCGCCAAATTTTGTATACGGAAAATGGCTATTCAACCGTATCTCAATGATTTTTTTGGAAAAGTAGCGAGCTTTTAAGTTGCTCATTGCAGAATCTGGCAAGCTGTGAAAAAAATTTGGACCACTCTGTTAAGCGGCTTTTTCGAAAGATTTACATTCTAAAAAAATGATGAAAACAGTAAAGTCGATCAATAATGAGAAAAATAAAGATGTGAAGAGACAAGACGGCTCCAAGCAGCCGCTACGGCTATTGCGGCAAACTGTTATGATTCCGTGCCTTGAATTTCTCTGCGCTCTCACGCTCCACGTACTGTTTCTTCTGCTCAGCCCTCGTTTTTGAACGGTTCGGCTAGGCGGGACATGCACCGCCTCCAAGAAGCTCGTGTTCTTTTTTTTTGGCTGATAAAATTAATAAAATCATTGATTCAAGAAAATTAATTATCACAATTTTGACAAAAAAAAGTTAACAATGAATAAAATAAAGATGCTAGACGTTTAGAGGAAAGTTTTAGAAATTTTCATGAAGTGAATTGTCCACATTTTGGCTTTCCAGTGAAATAACGGCTCTTAAAAAAAGCTCAAACCTTTTATTTTCATCGAATCGATAACCGGGAAGTGTTTGACTACAATCGAAAAAAAGCGAAAAATATGGAAGTATATATGTAATTATTGATCAAAAATTCGTTTTCCTGAGGCAAATTTTTGACAGCAATGAAAAAAATTTTTAGTTTCAAATTCAAAGAAAAACGGAATGTGGTAAAAAACGCATTCCATTTTTCCTGGGCAAGAAAAAAACTCTTTTTTTAATTTCAAAAAAAGTTGAAATTTCGGAGTTAATTTTGAAAAAAATTCAAGTCTAAGCAGCAATAAAAAAAGCAAGAATTCTTCATTGCTGTTGATTTTGATTTCGGGAAGATCCGAAGATATAGACTTTATTGTCAACGGTCGTAACACGGTCAATAGTGAAATTGATAGTGGTAATAACTCTGAAAACCAAGAATTTTGCAAAAAATCAAGATTTTTCAAAACTCACATTGTCTCAATCACATAGAATTGCATCTCTGTTGCATATGGGAATGGGGTGCTCGATTGATCTGGATTCAGCTGCCATTCAATGTAACTGGTCCTGAAGTCGTCCCAGAAATTTCTGAGATCTTCCACTGCAACAAATAACAAATAAACGTTGCTTTACAAAGGTTTTTAAAAATAGGTGTCAAAGCAGAATTAATCCTGACTACAATATTTTGTCTATTTAAACATTCCAGTGACATATCCGTCCTGGTGCGTGACGGCTGCGGATTATGAAGTCGTGGTTTCACACTACCAACGTTTCTTAAACCCCTTGGTTGGGTCGAGGTGGTTGGATGGAACTTGTGACTCTTTAGACAGGCACACAACCTCTTGCGCTACGGCCCCCCCTCTGAATCTGGTAAAATAAACCTCTAATATTACTCCCGAACTGCTCGTTCATGAGGTTCGTCACATGCTCCCAAAGACTGTCCTCTTCCGCTAACGGGACTCCATGAAACGGGTTCCACAGGCAATAGTGGATTTCCATCTGCCTGATCAAGAATCGGGTTTGGTCCGGGCTCAGTTCCATTTTGCTCAGCCTCTAAATGTTTGATATGCAAATTTTACCTAAAGTCAAGATAAGCGCGCAGAGCCAAATAGAAAAAAGATTTTCCCACATTTCCGACGGCGATTCATCGTTTTTCTCTTCACTATGTTTATCTTCTCTAATAATATGCATGTAAAATAAACGGAATTGAGAAGTTATTGGGATCGAAGAAAGGTTCGAGAAGGTGTGTAGAAAATCTGTATAGCTGATTCAGTGATATGAAAAAAAAGACTAGCAAAAAGTCAAACGACAACTTTTCCGATTTTATCATATCGCTAGGGAACTTTTCGACGGCCACCTTTCCGACGAATCTTTTACCGACTTTTTTTCTCGATAAACTCTTTGTTCTGAATCTTCTCATATAAAGTAGATAATTGGTTCATGATTAAAACACAAAGAAAGAGGAAAAGAATGTTAAAAGATGACTTACAAACCGAAAAATATAAGGGAAAAAAGTCGGAAAGGGATTCGGCGGAAAGGTGGCCGTCGGAAAGTTTCCTAGCGATATGAAAAAATCGGAAAAGTCGCCATTCGGACTTTCGCTGGTCTTATTTTCTTACCACCGGTAATTCACGGCCAGCTTGGGACGTTAGGGGCGTGTCCTTTCTGCGCTTTCCACGAGCCAGGCGCTATCTCGTGCATTATCGTGTCAGGACCATTTTTTTCGATGGCTCAAGCCAGCCGTGAATCAGCTATGCAAGTTCGGCTATGATCGCACTCTTTATTTTTAGCCGAGTGCTTTAAAAAAGTAAAAAATTGGACTATATTCGAATGATAGCCGTAGAACTCCTTAATAAGGAAAATATAGAACATGTTTTTTTCTTGAGTATCTCATTTGTGAGCAAATCTTACAAGAAAGGTCATTTTACTCTGCGGTTGGGAGTTTCTTGAAAGTTGGTTAGAAATTTCTTCGATGCACCCAAAAAAAGGTTTTTGAAAGCCACAACTTTCCGATTTTCGAGAAAAAAATAGCTCAAGACCAAAAAAACGCTTCAGTGGATTTTGAAACTTTTCTTTGATTTTGAGGTATCCTTTTATAAAAAAATTAGAAAGTTGTGCGGTTGAGAATTTCAGGACCTTCATCCGGTACATCAAAAAGCGTTCTGGCCAATTTTCAAGAACATCGCAATCACAAAGTGAAATGACCTTTCTTGTTACTGAGCTTATTGTTTTTCGAAAAAATCTGGAAAAGTAGAAAAAAATGGCAAAGACTGGAAAGTTTCGAAAAAAGTTAGCTTGAGGGTAGGAAAGACAGTTGTGACCATCCGCTGGGGCAGACAAGGCAACCTGTGCCTCAACCGCTTGACTCTTCTCTGCCCTCATCCCCGCAGTACTATTTCCATCACCTCGCCCTTCAGAAGGAGCTGCACGGTCTCCCCCAAAAAAGCACATGCCCTTTGTCTCAACTTGCTGACAAAAATCAATAGATCCTCGGGCGTCATTGCCTCCTTGAGGAAACCATGTTCCCGGGCGATCAAAAAGAAAAGCGCTGTAGGTGTTTTAGCAGTGACTCTTCGCTGAAATTCAATTCGGAAAATGTAATGGGCAAGGCAGGGATTAATAATAGAATCGAATCTCTTTGAGTGGATAGTGAATAATCTCAAAAAAATTTTTTTCTGAAATGTAGCTGGGTTACGATACGGAATTAATGAAGGAATGTGTGTAAAAGCATAATGATAATGATTTATTTCATTCACAAAAACATCATCTGTTAAAAATCAGGAAAAAAGTAAACCGGAGTTCTCGAAATTACAGCTAGAAAAATACAACAAAAAAAACTGAGATCAAGAATTCTGAGCCAGTTTTGAAAATGAGCTCGATTTTCAATCTAGATTCCTCAGCCCAGTGAATCAAAGAGTTAAGTGAAATCGCGATTCCTTATGAAATTTATTTAAACTCTGAACAACTTCCATGATTTGAGCTTAATCCACCAGTTTTCAATATTTCGGAACTTGATCAATTCGACGCCATTTTTGATCCCAACTCAATATTTGTTTTCAGAGGAGGAATGAGCAATATGCTTTTCCTGTGCCGCCTATCGGAATCCTACCGGCCGATACGGAATGAGCCGGACAAGGTACTGCTGAGAGTGTACTTCAATCCGGAGACTGAAAGCCACCTTGTCGCCGAGTCCGTCATTTTCACTCTTCTTTCTGAACGACACTTGGGACCAAAACTGTATGGCATCTTCAGTGGAGGACGCCTGGAAGAATATATTCCGGTTGGTCCATTTGACCCTGTTTTTTTTTTCTGGTTTCAATTAGTTGAGTAGAGCTGTAAGGTCTGTTCAAGCTTGGGTTTTTATGATTCATAATTATCTTGCCCTTTTTCCCTTCCGACTCTTAAATTTCTAGTCACGACCGCTTTCCGTTCGAGAAATCTCCCTGCCGGCCATGTCAGCCAAGATCGCCAAAAGACTTGCCAAGGTGCACCAGCTCGAGGTTCCGATTTGGAAAGAGCCTGACTATTTGTGCGAAGCGCTCCAAAGGTTTCAAAACTTTGAAATCGTCAAAATATTAATTTTCTTTTTCAAGATGGTTGAACCAGCTGTCTAACACTGTTTCCGCTGAACATTCGTTTGACCTTCCGGCCGACATTTCCAAAGAAGCTCCAAATAGCATCACCTGCATTCAATTGGCCAGAGAACTTGACTTTTTGAGGTTTTCTTTGAGTTTTATTGATAAGTGTGCAATATTTTTTTCAAGTTGACGAGCCTTGAATACAAAAAATCAGCTACTTTTGACAAGGGCAGTCATTTCAGCGGAAAACTGAAAATTCAAAATTTATTAAGTAATTTTATCATAGCCCTCCAGCTTTTTTTGATTCATGCCAAATTTCCACCTGATCCAAATTTGAGACGGGTTTCCTAAAATATATCTAGAAAATAGAATTCTTAGAGAAAATTTCAGAACGCACATCGCCAAAAGCAAGAGCCCAGTCACATTCTGTCACAATGATCTCCAAGAAGGTCTTGAGCCTTCCAATAAATTTTTCGATTATTCTGATTTCAGGAAACATCCTTCTTCCCAAAGCCTCATCTGGAAACATTCGACTTCCTTCGCTTTCTGACGAATCCAGCGGCAGCGGAAACAGTCTTGCCGCATTCAATCCAGCTGATCCACGCCTGGTCCTCATCGACTTTGAATACGCTAGTTACAATTACAGGTACACTTTTTGTCTCTCCCACCGCAGGGAGTAAGGCCCTGCTGCAAAACACCTGATTGAACGTGCTCCCGACCTAAAACTGCTTTCGCTTCGGACATTAAAAAACATTTTAACCGATAATTTTCAAAGATTGAGAAAAAACTATGAGATGATTCTTCGAGGACAGTCGCTTGAAACAATTTTCCTCAAAATAATCGTACTACTGAGCTTTTTATCCACAACCTGGCTTGAGCCATTCCAACTGCGACAGCGACGCTCACGGTCAAGAAAAATTAATTATATATCCTCTTTTCAGAGGCTTCGATTTTGCCAATCACTTCGTCGAATATTCCATTGACTATGACGTGGACGAAGCTCCATATTACGCGATCACACCGGACAACTTCCCGACTTCTGATATGGTTTTTTTTCTTTCATAAGCATTTTCATAGTTGGGAACTTATCTATAGATGCTCGAGTTCTTCATAAATTACCTGCGCGAGTGGGGTGGAACACCTGAAAACCAGCTTTACCCGAAAGCTGAGCTTCTAATCAAGGTGTCAAAAATAATCAAAAATATCAAAGGTGTATATATCCAGGAAACTTTGCCTTTTGTGGCAGTTTCTCACTTTTTCTGGGGCGTTTGGGGCCTCTTGCAAGTTGAGCTCTCCCCTGTTGGCTTCGGCTTCGCTGTGAGTTTTTAACCAAAAATATTCATTTTTATGGTCTTTTTAAGGAATACGGAAGAGACCGCCTCGCTTTGTATTTTGCGAACCGCAACCTGTTGGAAAATCTAGGCGATGAATAGCGGAAACTGTGTAAATCACAACGTTTTTGGGTCGACATTACAAGAAAAGTGTTAAAATGCGTTTTGTGAATATTGGTAAAAAAATATAGATAATAAATGTTCATCGTCAATTTTTCGTTCTGCCAAAATTGAGATAAGTCAAATTTTGTCATGCCTTCCAAGAGAAAAAATCTCATCAGGGGCATCAAACTCCACAAAGTATCTGAAAAAGTTAGGGAATCTCATGAATTTTAAAAATTCTCGCTCTTCAGCAGTCATCCAAAAAATACTCGTGTTCGAAAAATCTTTCGATTTTTTTGAATAACTAGATGCTTGGAAACAGTTTGTAGTTTATCGATTAGTTCTCGGAGATTATCCAAAAAGGCGGGATAACCCGCAGATGTCGCTCGCGAGTAGGGAACCTCTTTTTTTGACGGCTTCTGCGGCATCCAGATGTGCCACATTCGCCTTTTGTGAAGTTTTCCGCATTCTTCTGACAAAATCTAGGTCAGGAGAAGCTCAAGGCAAAATTTTCAGATTCTAGAAAAAATATGGATTCAGACAGCAGGTGGACTTTGACGGAGAAAAAACTCGACAATTCTAAAAAAAAATTTTTCTTGTTTTTTTCTCGTTTTTAATGAAACTTTGTACAGAAACTATCGTATTTTTCTCATTGCTCTCTTCAATCGAAACATGTTGAAAAAAAGTTTATGACATGTATAAAAAAATTACCGGAACGTCAAAAAAATGCAGTGGTTGCTCATGAATTGCAACTGAAAACAGTCAGTTAAAAAAATTATTATGTCGTAATTGCAAAAAACGACAGGAAACACATAAAGAATCAACAACAACAACAACAACAAAAAAACAACAAAAACTGGATGAAACAGTCCAAAAACAATCCAAGAAAAAACCTATGGAAAGTCCATTTTGATCACACCATGTTTCGAAGATCAGATTCATCTCTGAAAGCCAAAATTTGAACGAAAGGACAAAATTTTAGAAACTCACTTGATGACATTGTCGTAGAATTTGAACTCAGCCTGCCAGGGATAGGGGATATCAAAACGGTCGGGACGGCGGCTCCACTTGATGTAGTTGAGTCGCAGCCTCTCCCAGTATCGTCGGAGATAATAAACTGCAATGATTTTCCAGTGAAATTTCTTGAAAAGTACCTTGCAGTGCACAAGTTCTCTTTTTCGGCAGTAATGCAGAAAAATATTCAACAATTTAAATTTGAATAAATTAATAAAAAAATGAAAAAAATTCAGCTCATCTCCATCACAAAAAATGGTCCTAAAAGGAACAAAATGAGTTAGATTACCATAAAAAAATCTAATTTCAAAAATAAATCGAAAAACCAGTTTTGTAATTTTTTTACTTTTCTAGAAGAAAAAAATTTCATTCAAGAAATATCCAGACGTTTTTTTCAAAAAAAGCTCATTTTTTTACAAACTAAATAAAGAAAACCTCCCATATTCTTGCCGAACCGCGAAAGAAGCATGCTCCCCACAGCTGTCCAACCAACGACGTCCTCATAAGCTGATAAGCAACATCGAGGATTCCAGAGGCAAGGCTGACTTTCGACCATTCCGAGGAACTCACGAGTCTCAGACAGAGTCAGAATCATTTTCTTCGATCTGAAACAATCAAAAGTGCTGCAGAGTACATAGCCGGATTTCAGAAGGAAAATCGAGTAAGATTCGAATTTCGCCAAGTCCAATGGAGGTTAAAGAGCATTTATCACAGATAAGGAATAATCGATCGTTCAAATTGACCACGAAACAGAAAACGACGCGAAGAGCCCACATGAAGACGACATTTTCGCATCAGTTCAGACGCTGAATCATGTGTTCGCCCTTTGATCTCTCTGTCTTCTACGTACTATTTCTCTGACCTCACCCTTGTGGGTTCGGCTAGGCTCTACATGTTTCGCCCCCAGCTCTTGGGCCTTCCCTTCCCTTGCCAACTCAATCAATAGATCTATAGATTTGAGAAATTTTCATAGCAGAAAGCATAAAACCAAATAATCAAAAGAAAAGTTTAGAAATTGGTGCATATAGGATCCAGGGAGACTCGAACTTTCACATTTTCACTTCTCACCAACGCGGCGGAGGTTAAAAAGGTCCTGAATTTTTTTAAAAAACCCACACAAGTTCCTTGATTTAAAAGCAAAAATGTGGGAATTTTTTTCCGTTTGGCCATCAGTGTTTCTTTCTCGAAACAAATATTTTCCTAGCAAATTTCGATGGGCAATAAAGGAACAATAATTCACCGAACTTTTCAGCTATTTCCAAAAAAAAGACACTTTTTCAATAGGGAATGATATTGAAACGACGTTTCCTGTTAAATGGGATTCCGTGTGAAGTCTTGACTCGAAATCGAAACATCGTTTCTCATTCCGACAAGAGCACGGTCTCCGAGCTCCAGCATGAGATTGCTACATCCTGAGCTCGACAAGGCGCAACTGGATGGACTACGAGAACGAGGCGAAGGACCTTCAGACCATGCTTCCCACTTGATCAACTACACGTTGGGACTTCTTTTTTGCCAAAGGCGGTAGACCGTTATGATTTCAAAAGGTTTATTTACCACCTAGTCGATTACATGTGACTGAAACAACGAAATAAGTGATTTGATTACACAAAAAAAAACAACAAAATATTCATCAACAACAACAAAAATTTTCAAAAACGGGTAGTAAAGCTTTTGACGCCGACCAGGAAGAAAAGTTCAGCGACTGGCATTCAGGGTTCTTGAAAAAATATTATAAAAGATGAGAGTGAAAATGGAATCCTACCAAACAGCCACGTAGACCGCATCGTTTTCGAGAAGAGCAATGGCCTCATCGACCAGAGCAGCTCTCTCCAGGCGGCGAAGAATGCATTCGATGCTGAAATCAAAAAATAAGGCGAAAGTTACAAATTTTAATACGATGACCAAGGACTATGGGTAACAAAATTCGAACGAAGCTAGTAAAAAACAAAATTTCTCTTTGCTAACCATTTTTTTCAGGACTTCAAAGCATCTCCATTTTTATATGTGAAAAAGTTCAATTGGAATTAATATGCTTCCCACGTTAAGACGCTTCAAAGCTTAAAATAGCTCTTTTATTAAAATTAGCGTTCTTCGCGAGCATTGAAGCCTCAATAGTTGAAAAAACGAATCATTGTAAGAACTACTTCTCTAATGAGAGTATCTTAAAAAGCACTTCAGAAAATTTACTATCCGAAAAATGAAAAATGAACTTTGGAGCTCACATCAAGCGAACTTCTTCGAAGAATTGCATTTCCTCAAGGTAGGGGAATGGAATCTCGAAACGATCCGGCCGATGGCCCCACAAAATGTAGTTGGCCCTCAGTCTCTTCCAGTATCTCCTGAGATCTCGGGCTGAAAGAAATATTCAGTTAACTTCGCTCGAGCGAAAAAAAGAAATTTTTAAATGGAAGTTTGAATTTTTGAATTTTTTTTCAGCAATTTAGTCCAAACGATTTCTGGAGGTCTATAAATGAGATCTTTCAAATCGCAGCACACAAAATCTTGAGATTTTCGAAAACAAAAATATTTTGCATACTTAAAAAAAAAAATATTTCCCTATTACGCTTAAAATTGATTGATTTGAAGGATCTTTTCTGTTCCAAAAAAAATTTTGGACGGTCTGGGAACTTTCCCGATGGCTTCTTCTCAAATTAAGTTCTTATTCTTGACTAATAGTCTTTAGGGGAAAGATTATCTAAGGCTTATTGAAGCTTTTTAAATTTTGGCAGTTTATGATGCTTTTCACATAATCATAATGGCGCTTCTCTCGAAAATGTGCAACTTATAGAAAAACCTCTTAACGACTTTCGAAATCGCTGATTGATGAAGTCGGCCAGCGTTTCCCATAGATGAGCCCTCACACCTGCTGTGGAATTTACTGCTGGATCCCAAAGACAGGGGAAAATTCGAAGAAAGTCGAGGAACTGTCGCGTTTGTCTCATATTCAGGAGCATCTATGAAAAAAATTGAAAGAACCGAAAAACTGAAACTCGCACGAAACCGAGGAGAGCCAAAAGAAGAAAACAATGTTCAGGCAGTTTCGGCGCACATTTCGCCGCCCTTTGACCTCTCTGCTTTCTCTGTGCTATTTCTTTACCTCACTCTCGTGTTCCGGAACGGTTCGGCAAAGCGCTGCACTGCCCGTCTTCGAAAAGCCCACGGCCGTTTTCTTTTACTCGCCCATTCAAATCAATGGGTTTATGAGCCTTTTCGGAACATCTCCCTGGGAAAACCATCTCTGGCGACGAAAAATAGTAAGACGTTGTTTCGAATGAAAATACAGGGGTTGTAGGGTTTTTTTTTTGGATTTCAATGTTTTCTTCACTGTCGTTATTTCACTTTAGAGAATATTAAAAAAACAAGTGATCAAGTAAAGGATGGGCAACGTAACAACAATGCAAAACCAGGTGAACAGGAGATAACTAAGCTCATTTTAACATTTTTCCTCTAAATCTCCTTTGATTGCTTCTTCTACGCCTTTGACGAAACTTCGACGCTTTTAATGTAATTTCGCAAATTTTTCTCAATAAAGATCTACGTTTTGCTATAAAAATTCATGCAATTCAATAATTGAACTTGCAAACGATTTCCTTGGGACATCGGTATTGTTTTTGATGTACAAGTCGTGATGTTACTAATGACCCCAAAAAATTTGGTCCATTTGTTTAAAAATTGTTTCATGACACGCAGAAATAATGGAATTCAGTGTAAAAAACTGTATATGAGTTCGACTTGATTTAGAAGTTTCATTGTGAGTTTGAAACGTTTCCAGTAATCATTGCTTATGCAGAGTTTTTTCTTGCGTTTTCTGTCTGATCTCGGTGAGAATCTCGTGGTTCATAGGAGACATTGCCGAAGTAGAAGGTGTTCAGAAGGTTCAGGCAGAGTTCAAAGGCGAATTCAGAGGACCAGAAGATCGAGAAGAGTGCGCCGAGAGATCTTTTCCACGATTACTTTCCGAAATTCATTTTGTTGCGTATGTTGAGCTATTTCATTTTGATTGCAGTAAATCAATTTGAAATTTGAAAGGTTATTTATTCACCAACCACGGCACAAAAAAGACAATGATCGAGATGGGCCAAAAAAAAATTACTAGGTTGGCGTAGGAAAAAAATAAAAGACGAACGAAAGAAGATTATGGTACAGTTCTTGGCCTGAAAATTTACAAGTTATATGTAAAAAAGATCCGCGGATTTCTACCTATTCTTGGCGATCAGCGGCGGTCTCTTCGTCAATATCAGCTTGCGGCTGAAAGTGAATAGATCAATAAAAAAACTGAAGAAGAGGGAAGACTTTAACAAAACTGGTTGTGTTAGATACCGCAGTACTCAGTTTTTCAGGAAGTTCGAAATTTTGGAATACCTTGTGCCAAAAAAAAACTTTTTAAGTTCCTCAAGGCGTTCTAGCGGTTCATAATCAAACTTTTTGCCAAACTTTTTTTTTCCACCAGCGCTCATGAATTCTTTTGATCTGATTTATCTCAAATGATTTTTCTAAAGATACCTCAATCAAATCAGCGTTGTCAGTGTCCAACTGGCCGCGCGGGGACTCTTCAGCAAGAGGCGAGGAGAATGGCGCTCTGACCGAGTGAAGTGCGTCGTTGCTGGTCGCAGTCATTCCTGTAAATTGTTTAATGATTTCTTTTTTTCATGAAATTGAATTTTGGAATGAAAGTCCTAAGGTCATAAACTTCATGGTGTTTCTTGATTCAGCAAAATATTTCGACGTGAGTCCACCTTGAGAATTTTTCTTCCAAACCAGTTTTTCTCGATTTTTTTCAAAATGATACTCTATTTTTTTGAACTGGATTTTTTTGTTGAAAAATTGTCTACTTTGTGAATACATAGCTGGATGATCTGAAAAGAAATTCTCACCAAAAGTGACGTTCAACGGAGGCCGACGGCGTTCTGCTGGAACGCGCAGCTCATCCACTCCCGTTCCAATTTCATCGCGGTTTTCTGGAAATTTCTCGATTATTCAGATCAAAATTGACACGGTTTGCGAAATTTGAAATCTTTTTGACAACTCTGAAATGCGGAAAAATGTGGTTACCACTTCTCAATTTTGTTTTCATTGAATGTCATGAGTTTTCCATGTTCTTACGAAAAAAAGTATCAAATGGTGAAATTTTTGAGAAAAATTTTTTTCGATGTAAGAAGGAAAAAATCGAACAAACGATCCTGATGTATAATCATTCAAAAATATTGATAGAAAAAGTTGGATCGGGTTACTAAAATAATAGATACCGCGATTGTTAAGAATAGTGAAGTTGATAGGCTCGTGTTGCGAAAAAAAGCTTCAAACGTGGGAAGAGGCATCGGCAGCTCCGGATCCAGACGCGGCGCTGAAAATGAAGTCTTCGCATGCAAGAAATGATTGCAAAAACAACTTTAAAAAAATCTAAATGAAATTTCATAATCCGGGAAAAAGTTTCAATTCAGTGAAGGCTTGCTGGATGACCTTTTTGACTTATTTAATATTATTCCGGTTTTCGAATTTAGCTGAAAAACTCCTTTTCATTACTGAAAGTAAGATACTTCGAAAAAAAGTTCATTAGGAAAAAAATCAAACTTCAAGTTTTAAATTTAACCTTTCGAATTTCTCAGAAGAGAATCTCGACTTACTGATGTTCGGGTGATCATCAATTCTTGGAACGAACTGAACCGTTTCCACCGGAGTGAAGCCAAGAAGAGGAGAAATCGGCATGACTGAAAATTCTATGCGTATTTTCTGAACTTTCCAACTGAACTGGAAAAACTTTTAATGCGTCTCAGTGCGTTTGAAATTTTCTATTCAAACTTTTCTAATTGAAAACTGCAATTTTAGAAGTTTCAGGACAAAGTCAAGTAACTAATTGTCTGATAGAACAGTTTGTTCGAATAATTATTCATTTTCATTCTTTGTCTCCAGATTTTTCTGATATTTCTGGCTTAGATTACTTAAACCCGTAGGAAAATTTACACGATCTTAAGAAATCAAACGTATAGGTTAGATGTTTGAAAAAACAGCTTTTTTGAGGTTCTGCTTCTCAATGCTGCAAGTTCCAAGCAACTCACCGCTGGAAATCGAAGAAACTGCAGAATCTTGACTGGGCCTGCCGCTTTCTTGGGAAGAGTCGGCAGGTGTTCCAAGCAAACTGTCGATTTCAGAGATGTTGGCAGCAACCGAGACAGTGACCGATTCTGAAACCGAAATGTTTGATTGGAACTCAGGCCGGAAAATACCAGGAGAATCGAAATTGAGCACGGCGGGCATTGCCGGAAACGTCAGTCGGTCAGAATCTGAAGATTTTGTTTTTTGGAATCTTTTCGAAATCTCATTACATTGAACAAAATTCTTGATGTGATTTAAAATCATTAAATGAAGCTTTCTCTGATTGAGATAAATAATTTCGCAGTTTCTAAAAAAACTATATTTTTTTTCTGAAGAAATAAAAAGGTACACCCAAAGTAAGATGTTTATAAAAGGTTATTTCATATTTTGAGTTTTCAAATTGAAATGTTGAGATTGTCTAGCCACTCACCGGTCGAGACAGTTGTGAGGACCGAAGAGAAATAGTTGGGCCTGCGGGCGACTCGTGAGACGTCGGCAGGTGATCCCACCACACTTCCGACTCCTGTGCTGACACTTCCGACTCCCGTGCTGACACTTCCGGCGGTAACGTTGCCGTTGGAGCTTCGCTCTGAAGTCCAAAGTTTCTGATGAATTTCAAACAAGAGGTCAAGTTTCATATGAAGCGTTATTCGAAAAAGAAGGAAAATATTTTATTTTAGATTTCGACCATTCAATGAACATTCCAAAAACTCACGAGTTGACCAAGGAACAGTCGCCAAGGAGGCTTGACTCAGCCTGCCGTGGTCCTGGGTGGTCACGGCAGGTGAAGCAGACGAAGCGTTTCGGGCGTTCGTGCGCGCCATCCGTCCTGAAAAACATTTTTTTATTAAAAAAAGAAGAATCTTGAAAATTTCAAACTAATTTTTTTAAGTTTCAAAAAAATCTCGAAGGTTAAAAAGTTTATTCTGAGAAAAAGTCTCTTCTCGAAATTGCATGATAGTTTTTTTGAGAGATTCAAAGTTCAAAAAAATAACTAAATATAAAAAGAAACGTTGCGAAGTTTTGAGGCAACTCACCAGCCAAAAATAGCCAAAGTCGCCGGAGAGACTGCCGGACTGTCGACGGTCGATCTGCTGAAGTCAGTACCTGAACTTTTTAAGAATTGGAATAAAACCTCGAAATTTTCATGTTAATTTTTTTGAATTTTTCAGAAAAGCTCCGAAAAAAAGCGCTATTCACAATAGAAGAAAACATATTTTACTTCAGTGTTTAATTGTTTAATGAAAACTCGAAAAACTCACGAGTCGACCGAGTTGCTGTCGCCAGAGAGGCTTGGCTAAGCCTGCCGTGGTCCTGGGTGGCCACAGCAGGTGGAGCAGCAGAAGTGTTCTGGGCGTTGATATTGGCGGCTCGTTCTGAAACCACTGAATATGAAGGAAATCTTCTTTTTGATAATTTCGCAGCAACTCACCCGCCATAATGGCGAGAGTCGTTGGAGTGACGGCTGGACTAACCACGTACGAGGAGTTGACATTCGTCCCTGAAACTTTTCAAATCAGAGTGAAACGAAGACTACAAAGTTGACTCTTTAGATTTTTGTTTGACTGACTCGTTTAATAAATAATTTTTTTGATAACTGTTATGTTTTCTAAACGCACTCATCATCGCAGAAGAGTTCGAGTCAGCTTCAGCTGCAACCGTCGGGCCTTCCTCAATTCCGACGTCAACCGATTCAAGGCGGTAGCGGCGACCGTTGAGGAAAATGAAGGGAGGAGGCGTCCACAGATCTGCAATGAAAATGGATGATGAAATAATGATAATCTTAACTTTATTCATTTTTTTCTAAATTTTTCAGAAAATCTTACTCGGCTGGTTGGGCGCCAGTTCAACAACGACGTCGCCTTCATTCATTGCGGAATGATGTGGAACAGCCAAAGAAGCGAGATTTCTTGGCGGAGCTGAAAGAAAATGCATTTCTAGACTGAAAAGCTAGTTTCAGAATCTTGTCATTGGAGTTTTAAAGAATCATTGGAATTTCGAAAAAATGTTGATCTCAAGAAACTTTTTGCAGTAAAGTTGGAATACCTACCGAAGGGCGAAGTGCCTTTGTCCACCTTCGGACGCTTGTTGACTGGTCCGGAAGAAGTGAGGTTCTCCGAGCTTTCTACCTGCGAGGCGACGGCTGAAACTTGTATAGTGAAAGTTCGAATCAAACTCGAGGACTTGAAAAAAGAATATTTGTTAGAACTCGAGAGAGAATTCATCCTTTTTCGAGAACTGATTGAGTTTTTTTTACTTCTTATTTCATGAAAGTTCATCTGATTTAAATTTATTCGGATTTCAATCTTTTTACTTTCGGAAAGAATGCTCCAGAATGTTCGACTTCAACGCGGAATCTTCAGAGTGACTTACTGTTACAGTTTTCGCCAAGCGTGGGCCTGCTGACGATGGAAGCTTCGGCAGGTTCCATCGTTCCGTTTACAGCGACGATTCCTTCGAGGTTCTCAAGCTCCGGTTCAACGGCTTCGGCTGAAGTTTTGAAAGTTAGCTGATTTCAAGTCTCAAAAAAGTTCTGACGGAAAGTTCAGCAAAAGCTGTTGCTTCGAAAAAACAACTACGGAGATTTTTGAAATCTTCATTAATCTCGGTTGGAAAAAAACAATATTAATAAATTGGGGTTAACTCTCACTTCTAAAGGTTTGAATTATATTACACTTATTTTTTATCGGGAAATAGCATGTCCCACCAGGTTTTTGCGTTTCAGGAAAAAGGGTATTTTTTTCAAGATGAGATTTTCGGAATAATCACCAAAATCAACTGCTGGTGGTTCATCAGCAGCAGCTGGGGCACGGACGGCAAAACGCGCACTGCGACGGACTCCTCCACGACCGCCTGCGCCGGCTCTCCCTCCACGAGGAGCGCCACCTCCACGGGCTGGCAGCACAGCTGAAAATAGTGGAACTTCAATCAAGAGACAAATATTGAAATCTGAAAGTTTAAATAATGTAACAAAGGATTCATTACTTCTCAACGAGTTTATTTGGATTTTATACGAACAGTGATGATTTCGACAACTTACCGGCAACGACAGGTTGGTTCCGCGCAACGACGGGGTTCCTGGCGACGGCTGGAGCGCCACGGCGTTCGTCTGTAAATAAACCGTTGATAAAGTTTGAAAAAAACTTTTTTTCCGATAAAAAAATTCAAAAAAATTACTTTGCTGGGCCTGTTGTCGCTGAGTTTCGCTGACCCGGCCTGAAATTTTTTTTGTAATCAAGGTTTATTAAGTTTAAATTCAAAGCCATCAGTCAAATAAAAAAAAACTCACGAGCGAAGGCGAAGGTCTTCTGTTGGAAGCCTTTTTGTCCATCTGAAAATTTTTCATTTTTTCACTTCAACAAGAAAAAAAAACTGACCCTTTCTCGCCATCCTTGCTTTTGTGGAAGTTTTAAACTTGGAGCTGAAAAAAAATTAATTTTTTTAGCGCAAAAAAATGACAATGAAGCGAACAGAAAACACTAAAAAATTGAAACTTAGATTATTCAATCTTTGAATTCGTTTACCACCAATTTGGACAGTTCAGCTCCAAAAATGACACTCAGATTTCTAAGGCAATGAAAATGTGTTCTCAAAAACTATTTCAGCTCAGTAGTCTAATGAAAATGCGCTATACGGATAAGCGATCGAAAAATATGAAATTATCAACTTTTACCTTTTTGTGAAAATATTTTTTTTTGGTAATCCAGAATTTAGTAACTGAGATACGACTTTTCTATGATTCATAACGAAAAAGGGACATGTTAAACAGAGCCGATGGAAACAGTAAAAGATTGAAAAAACCCTACTATCATAAAGAAAGCCTGAACTATACAAAGAGTGAAAACTAGAAGCGAAAGACGCCCAAGGTGGCGGAAATTGGGCCTTCCAGTCCAAGAGAGGCTGGAGAGCCCAACTTCGACCGACCGCTCCTGACAGAAAAACGACAGTAGAATGAAGATAACGAAGACACGCCTACTTTATTAGCTTAGTTCGTTCTGACTGGCCTGACACGCCCACTATCGCTTTTGAAGGAAAATGAGTGGTTTGTACCAAGAAAATGAAAAGAAAACTTCTTCCTATTTTGAAGCCTGCTTCTAAACAAAATGGAAGCCTTTTGTATAAAAAAGCCTCAGGAATCGGTCAAAAAACTGAAATAAGTCGAATTTCGAGAGTTCGCGGACAAAATCAGAACAAGAAGGTTTGAAAAATGTTCTGACTCATTTAGATAAAATTTCGTATTGAAAGGATATTTTTACAAAATAAAAAAAGAGAGAGATTGAGGCCAAGTAAAATAACAACGCAGAATACGCTGAGACGTGGCGGAAATCGGGCCTTCCAGCCCAACTTCGACCGACCGCTCACGACAGAACAATGACAGCAAAATGAAGTTATCCAAGACACGCCTCCCCTGATTTGGCTCAGGTCGTTCTTGCTGACCTAACACGCCCACTATCGCTTATGGAGGAGGAATGAAGTGTTTGAACCAAAAAGTTATGATGGAAAAAACTTTACATGATATACAGCAGAATTTTGAACGAGAAAAAAAGCTTTTTTTGCGAAAAAAACACTACAAAAATAGTAAAAGAAAAACATTGTGAAAAAGTCGAATTTAAATAGGGTTAACAGGGAATTGGCAAAAAAAGGCACAAAAAAATATACAAATCTTTTTCTGATGAATTCTCAAACTATTATTCGTATTCTGGAAATGAGAAATGAATTGGTCGAGTTTTTCTAGGCCTTCTAGATGAAAATAAGTCTCAGAATTTCACACTAAAGGATGAAATCGTGAGAAGAAGTTGAAGACGGTGAATTCGAGAAGAAAAAAACGTTGATAGCTTTTTTGAGTTTCGAAATACATTAGTCCTATTTGACAGTTGAAAAAAAGAGAAGAACTTTGAAAGTTATAAACCGAAAAAAATTGCTCATATTCGAAAAAAATACTAGCAATTGAATAGATGTATAAATATCATGTTATTGACTAAGTTTGAAATAAACTAAGTTTGTGCTATACAAAAGAAAAAGGATTGTAGGTCCTTTGGTTTTTTTGATATTCCTTTTTTTCCGTCTCTATCGAAAAAAACTTTCCGTGATTTTTTTGCGCTATTCTCTGTCTAAAAAAAGTAATTTTTTTAACTTCATCATGCTAATAATGACTCCAAATTTTCAGAAAAAAATATGATCAGAAAGAATTAAAAAGAATATTTGCGAGAATCTTTTTTTCTACTCAACTAGAGCACAAAAAAATTAGAATATTCAAAAAAAGAATTATACGAAAAAAACTTGAGAAGTTTGCAGAAGAATGCATAAAAAAATATAATAAAATTGATAGAAGAAGCAACGACAGAAAAAAAGAAAGAAAAAATGAAAGAAAATGAAAGAAAAAAAGAGCTTCGAAAACCGTTGCCCGCGAAACTGTGAGAGTTTTTTTTGGCGCAATTAAAGGCGCATACAGTATGCCCTTGCCCTCAAAAAATAAGCTGGGAGGTCCAAAAAAGTCTCATTAGATTCAGATTGGTTCATTCTTTTTGATAGTGCATCTCAGAATGAATTTTGAGAATCAAAAAAAAATTGAATTTTTTCTTTTTGAAATGAAAGAAGCGAAATATATTTTCCAAGTGCATAACACTTCAGATGAGTTAACCAAAATGAGCTGAGACAGACCTAATACTAAAAATATTTTAGACTTGTTTGTTTGGTCTTATTTTTGGATCTTTGGTGTCATTATTCCTACAGGCACGCAGAATGACCCAGCTCATGGCACCACAGTGCTTTACAACCGATTGTAAATTAACGGAAAGCGAAAATGAAGTCGGAGATACCGACTCACCAAACAACGAACTATGAACTATGGACTCGCAAAAACCAGAAGTAATGTAATATTGGATCTTCGCATTTCCTCAACAAAAAAACTATTTTTTTATAGGAAACCTTTTTTCAAAAAATTTGCAGTCTACAACAGAAAAAAGGCCAAAAATGGCTGATATTTTTTTTTCACCAGAACTACTTTCAAAAAACGATAATATGGAACACTCTTGATCTGAATAAATTCGGAAAAAAAGACATCTTGTCTCAAATTTTTTTAGAAATTAGTACTATATCCTTCAATGAAACAAACTGAATTCGAATTCGATTACGTGATAAAAATTTCACAGAAACTCAAGCTTCTCAAACAGAAAAATCTCGTGAAATCCCATAAAAAATTTTTTTGTCCGCGAAAAATCATGAAATTTTTACTGGTGCCAATTTTGACACTATTAAAGGCGCATACAGTATGCCCTTTCTTTTAAATTTGGAATTTAAAGGTCGGAAAAAGTTTTATTCGATTCAGATTTGTCTGATTTGTTTGATAGTGTGCCTCTGAAACTAGCAAAAGCTATTCTAAAAAAACGAAAAAAATCAAATTTTCTTTTTTTAAAATGAAAAAAACTAATTATTTTTTTATGCAGGGATTTTTAGAAAGAAAATCGACGAAAAATTGAGCCTAATATCAAAAAAATATTTTTAGACTTGTTTGTTTGGTCTTATTTTGGCTCTTTGGTGCCATTTTTTTCCTACAGGCACGCAGGGTGACCCAGCTCATGGCACCACAGTGCAACCGATTGTAAATTACATCCGATTGTAAATTAACGGAAAGCGAAAAATGAAGCCGGAGATACCGACTCACCAAACCAAAGATCTGTGAGTCTCAAAAAGAAAGACACAATACTTTTTCGGTTACTGCAACTTTGTGATTCGATAGATGATTCACATATTTTTTTCTCCGTGATGAAAAAAAGGGAAAAAAAGGTAGAAAAAAATATCAAAAAAAGATTACATCCAAAGATATGAGAACTGCAAAAAAACCGTTTCAATTGAGCTTCCAGCTTCACTTTTTAGAAAGATTTGTGAACTGGAAGTGAAAAATTCATATCTTCAAAGACTTGGTCGCTATTTGCCGAATGCGTTTTATAACAGTTCGGAAAAAAATCAGTTGAGCAAAAAAATGCGTCCGAAGAATACAAAAAAAGGAAAGAAGTACCTCGAAATATCCAAATGCGGGAACAATTTTTCTCAATAGAACGAAATTTTGAAGACATAATTTTTTTATAACGATGTCAAAAATCCCTTGAGGCTGCAAAAAAATAAGATTATTCTGGTCTATCATAGTCAAATCTAAGCTTTCTGATTATTTGAGAACCTCATTTCTCTGGAGTCAAAAATCAGCTTTGAAAGAGTTTGAATCGAAGCTTTTCTTCATAGTTTTTCATAAACTTCCATTTTTGATTTTTGATGAAAACACGTGGTTTTGATCTTGTTATACAAAAGCTCATTCTCTTATTTTCATTAATTTGAGACAAAATCTGTCTTTCGATAGTGACATAAACTGCTCCTGTCATATTTTTCGAGACCCCAGTTTTTTTCATGGACTACTTCACGTTATAAGAGCGGCGAAATCAGTTTTTTCTGGATTGAACCTTTTGTTAGTCAGGTGAATACTGAAAGCTTCGAGCGCTGCGAAATGGATCCCAGCTGATTTTTCTTTTTTTCATTTCTTACGGTGCTTCATTTCAAAGCGATCTCACAAATTTCTCAAACGATTTTTTGGAGTGTAGGACAAAAGCGCCGATTCCAAGAGCGCCGTTCAAATTGAGCGCCAGTCCGCAATGCGCCGTCGCGTGTATGCGCCGTGTATGCAGACGCCGCTTTCTTTTGCGCCGAGTCCGTTTGCGCCAAATCGTTTTGCGCCGTTATCTCAAACTTTTATTCTTCCGCTCTTTTTCTATCATTGTTTATTGATTGTGTAGTACACACTCATATACAACTCGAATAATTTTCGCGCCATCTGTTAATATGGACTTTTCCGCCGCATTTTCGAAAAAACTCGAACTATTGTTTCAAGAAATTGAGTTCAACGTTACGAAAAACGATTTTCTGCTGTTTCACGTCTGCTAGAATAAAAACTTTGCCTTAACTAACGCAGAAAATTTGCAATCACAAAAAAAATCACTCAATATGTCGTTTAAACCAATAATTTTTTTTTATCCATTCTCTTTTCCTTTCGTTTTCTGTATTTTTCGAAATCAGAAAAGCATATTTGCTTTTTTATTTTTACTTTGAAAAGAAAAAAGAGGAAAAAATATTTTACCTGGACCAAGGTGGACCTAAAACTCATCATTAACGGATGGCGCGAAAATTATTCGAGTCTTATATGAATGTGTAGTAAACAATTATGAATAAATAATATAAAAAGAGCGAATAAATAAAAGTTTGAAATAACGGCGCAAAACGATTTGGCGCAAACGGACTCGGCGCAAAAGAAAGCGGCGTCTGCATACACGGCGCATACACGCGACGGCGCATTGCGGACTGGCGCTAAATTTGAACGGCGCTCTTGGAATCGGCGCTTTTGT